GTCAAAATTAATATTATTTGAATTCATCGACATGGTTCCACCGCTTTCGTAGGAAAGGGATAGAGAATGTCTACGAGATCTCTCAGTCAATACAGATTATACTGTAGAGTGGCCACACCGTTCCAGAATATTTGCAGACATACGCTAACCATGAAAAAGAGAAATGTCCTAGAATTATCATTATTTTTAACAAGTCTTCAGGTTATTTTCCTTGTTCATCCAAAGTGTAATTTGTATCGGATTTCTTGATTGTTTTCATTACTATTATGATATAAGTTTACGCTCAAAACGCATACAAAAAGTATGGGTATCTAACATCAAAAACATCAACATAGTATAATATCATTGTACATAAATAAATTAACATATTACATTTTTTATTATGCTGTGAGGCAAAAATACACAGGCACAGTATAAGCAGGTAGACACCGAAGATGATACCTAAAGGTTTTTGGTTTTTATTACCAGTACATACTAATTTCGATTTCTTTTTTTTTTCATTTCATAATATGTTTACATATTCTAGTAGACTGCCAGCATTTGTGATCAAAGACTAGGCACACCTAATTTACGGTAGACTCGAACCCCTTGATGGTATTGCCTATGAGCTAGCTCTCGAGTTTCATAATTGTACTCCGGACTGAGAAAGAAAGTGGGAAATAAAATCTTACTAGTTAGTTAGTTATAATGCGAAAATTTGGATGGATGGATGTTATGATATGGTTGGGGATGAAATTTGGAACGAGTATGTTACAACCTGATATAGCATGGACAAAAAAATATTTTTCTTTTTTTATTTTCACGCTAAAGTGAAAGGATAAATACGCTTCATTATCATGAGAATAATATTAAGAAATATTGAAAAAATTAGTTCTCAGGAACAAACTTAATACAAAATAAATATTTATTCGAATCCTCGAGCAAGGCTCCACCGCAAAAAGATAGGGACAGAACATCATGCCGGCCTGCTCTAATCGGTAATGCGATACGGTGTCCATGTTTTACGATTCGTAAAGTAGCCATGATTTATGAAGAATCTTGGAAAAATTCAAAAATAATAAATGACCTATTAATAGAATTTTTTATACGAATGATAAAGCTTATTTGTTTATAGTTTATCATATTTGTTTAAAAGTATTTTTTCTCTTAAATTTTTTATAATCATGGAAATGAGACGCATAAAATAGAAAATCGTTCTTTCATTCTCTTTGAATCCGATTTTGGGTGTGAAAAATAATAAGATTTTATAGTTTTTTTCTTAGAAAAAAAAAACCAAAACTAACATTAATTTAGTTGTAAAACTCGAATAGTAAAATGTTTATTTTCAATTAAAAATTATTTATTTTCGTAAATATTTCGTTTGGAAGGTGAAGTTAGTTACTTTTTTTTTAATTTTGAGCTAATATCTCGATAAATTTATGTTAATCTCAATTATAAAGTGTGATTAGTATCATTTCTAATGTAACTAAGCAGTATTTATATATTTCAAAATACTTAAATTACATTATAGAACAAAAAAAATAATATTATTTAGTACAGCAGCCAGGCTCCACCGCTCCGAGGGAAAGGGACATGAATCATGCCGGCTCGCTCGAATCAATACAATAAGGTAGCCACAATTTTAGAGCAAATCTATCAGATTACCCGCCGTGTACTGTAACCATGATTCCAATTCCGGGCAAGGAAACTTTTTTGTATGTATTATCGTATTCTTGATAATTATTGAGAATAAACCAAATAAATATAGGTCGTGGCCTAAGCGTGGAATAAGCAGTGATTAGCGATTTTTTTTTAAACGATTTGAGACAATTGCAAATTCTCATCCTTCTTGGATGATTACAGTTGCTCTTTAATACCGTTCAACTTTCTGATGTTATGACGACCCTTACCAACACTTCTTTATCTTGAATCTATTTATAAATGTGGCTAAATCGTTGAACCCCATCTGACTTTTAGTTTTTTCAGTTTGATTGGTTTTGTTCATCAATCTCCAGGTTTCTAGTTTCTACATTTAAAAAACATTTTTACAACTCCCATTCCAGGCTATTATTACAAACAAATCTATCATACATCTTTAGGACTCCATCGCAGCATTGAAAGAGAATGGATAATTACGCTTTATTATCATAAGAATAATTTGTAAGCAGACTATTAATTTTTAATTTTTACGACCAAAAATAATTCAAAATAAATATTTATTCGAATCCTCGAGCAAGGCTCCACTACAAAAAGAGAGGGACAGGACATCGTGCCGGCCTGCTCTAATCGGTAATGCGATAAGGTGTCCATGTTTTACGATTTGTAAAGTAACCATGATTTATGGAATAATTTTAGAATAATCAAAAAAATAATTAATTTTATCTTCTAATATGAACGATGAAGCTTATTTGTTTATAATTAATAAATGATAATTGTTTGCAAGTCATTTTTCTGTAGGTTATCTCGAATTAAAGGACAGAGAAGTCACGGTGGCATAAAACAGAAATTCATTCTCCCATTCTATGTGGAACCGATTTAGGGTGTGCAAAATTAAAAGATGTTTTGTTGTTTTTTCACGAAAGACAGCAAAAATGATATTAATATAATCAATTAAAAGCATGTACAACTTGAATAGGACAATGTTTATTTTGAGTTAAAAATTATTTATTTTCGTAAATGTTTCATTTACAAGGTGATATTAGCTACTTTTTAAATTTTAAGCTAAGATCTTGATAAATTTTCCTTAATCTCGATTATAAAGTGTCATTACTATCATTTCTAATGTAACTAAGCAGTACGAATATATTTCAAAATACTTAAATTTCATTATAGAACAAAAAAAAATTAATATTATTTAGTCCAGCAGCCAGGCTCCACCGCTCCGAGGGAAAGGGACATGAATCATGCCGGCTCGCTCGAATCAATACGATAAGGTAGCCACAATTTTAGAGCAAATCTATCAGATTACCCGCCGTGTACAGTAACCATGATTACAGTTGCAGGCAAGGAAACTTTTTTGTATGTATTATCGTATTCTTGATAATTATTGAGAATAGACCAAATAAACAAGCAGCGATTAGCGATTTTTATTTAAAACGGTCTTGAGTCTTGACAATTACATATTCGTATCCCATGTTTAGTTTGCCACCAAATTGAGGATGAATTAGTCGACCCCTACCAAAACTGCGTAATCTTTCATTTATTCAAAGTTGTGCCCAAATCGGTATAGCCTATCTGAATTTTAGTGGTAACATAATCTTGAATTATTGTATAAAATGGATAATGGATACGGCCTATTCTCAAAAAATCTGCCCATAGACATCCGAATGTGCAGATTCGTTACCTTACATTAAAAATCACACTAGGGGACGCATAAAAAAGGATATTTCCCCTAACTTTGCCTTCCTTCCCCGCCAAATGCACTTCCCTTTCTATTTACTTGTATGAATGGAAAGTGTTCAAATTAGGCCTTCGACACGCACTTGTGCTACTGACTTTTATTTGTTCAACGGGATATGGGTATTCCCAAAACCGACTAAATCTGCATATTATAATCAATTATGATCTTGAATTAACATAAACTAACTTTCGCCCTCAACTCCGTCCGCGAGTAATGAAAAAAACAAAAGTGAGTAGAAACAAAAAGTACAAAGTTCTTCCAGATTATCCTCTGCGTCTATGCGAAATTTCATAGAGATCTGTTCAGCCGTTTAGGCTACAAACTCTAACAAACATCATCACCAGCTCACTATACGTCCCCACCGAGGGGCTCGGAGCCTACCCTAAAGTTAGGGTGACTAGGCCATAGTCAACCACACTGGCCAAGTGTGGGTTGGTTGACTTCACACATTTCTTAGAATTTCTTCGCTGATATGTGCAGGTTGTATCACGATGTTTTCCTTCACCGTAAGAACGTCGGGTAAATTATGTACATATGAAAATTCGAAAATCACATTGGTACATGGCGGGATTCGAACCCAAGACCTGTAGATTACAAGTCAAGTGCTTAAACCACTGAGCCACCGACGCTCTCAAACTCTAACAAATATCCATCCATCTAAACTTTCGCATTTATAATATTAGTGGGATATAATATCCCTTGACTCCTTTTTGCTGCATTGCCTTAATTGAATAATATTCAATTCTTCATGCCATATTAAGAAATAAAACAAAAACTTTTAATAATATGCTTTATTTAATTAAATAATATTCATGAAACAACAATATACATTTATGTTGATATAATTGACATTTATGACTATTTAATAATTAATATAATAATAAAAAAATATGTAGAATGTTAAGTACACTTGGACGGAATTAAATACAAGAACAGTCTCATATGTTTTAAAATTGAGCTGAGATTCATATATAATTTAATTACATAATAATTACAAAATACTATAAAAATACAGTCGAAATCTTCAAATAAGCTACTAAACGGATTACTATTTTTAACAGAAAATTTTATATGTAATTTATCTTATTTGTTAGTAATCAAATACTTTACTTATAGTGAAACCGACCCTTAAATTTATAGTCTTTAGTAATAAGCCTGAATTCTTAGAACCAAGTTGGAAATTAAAAACATCTTATGACATATTGTATAAATGCATCTCAGTCAGTCGCTTATCTATTATACCTATGTTTTAATAATTTTAAAATTGATATAAAATATGTTCAGATCTGAAAAACACTATCAAAAAGAAAAAAAAATCGGCACCTTCAAGACGAAAAAATAAAAAGTTTTTTTCACTTACAACCTATAAACATATTATAAAAAAATATTGCTAAATTGAAGCACCTTAGTGTGGAAATACACTGTTTTAGTGCCCATAAACTTACAACCGAATATTAAAACATTAAAATATGTAATACAAGCTGTTACTCGCGACTTCACCCACGTTAAATAAAAAAAACATGTCACTGATAACATAGCTTTAAAATGGTGATTTTTTTTTAAAATTGGCAAAATAGTTTTTGAGTTATTTTAATACATAGAAAAATACAAATCTTTCCGCTTTATGTAAGTTTAGACTAAAATGAAAAAAACCCAACCAAGTAGTTTTTGAGTTATTTGATTTTAGTTTTATTATAGATGTCTCAAATGATAATGCAATGAATGACTCTAGATTACATTAAAATTCGACATCTGTCAGATTGCAAGCATTTACATAGAGAAGCAATAAAATTCGTTTCAATATTCAGCTGTTAGTCTGTTAATTAGATTTAAATTTTAATTAGAAAAATGTCAATCAAAGTTATTCTTTAACAGGTTCCGAGTTATCTTTCTTATTACGACGGTTCCTTCTGTGTTTACTATTGGAAAGTATTTCATAGGCTTGCTGGATTTCCATGAATTTTTCCTGAGCAGCACGTCTTTGTACTGGATCTTTTACTTTATCTGGATGATTTTCGCGAGACAATTTCCGCCAAGTAGATGTGATTTCTTGCTGCGTTGCCGTTGGTCCGAGACCCAATACCTATGGAGAAATTTTAAACATTAATAGGTAACATTCGTAATTGATAATTTTAATTGTTAAGCCAAAATAACTGTAAACTTAAAGTATAATTGAGCAATGAAACTTTTTTTATATACAAAAAGGTGGAAAACGAACAAGCGGCCACCTAAATCCGCCAAAATGGCGAAGCGACCGCTGCCCAGACATCTGCAATTGGAGATGCGTTGCCTACCCTTATACGACGGAGGAGGAGACGCACGCAAAGAGGATATTTCCCTTCCTATGCGTCTCATCCACCGTCAAATCCACTTTCACATTATCCCTTCCTTAATAGAAAAAGGTGGGTCGGGAAAGGGACTAAAATTAGTCCTCTGGCACCACACTCATCAGACTGTAGGCGGAATTGCTCCCACTTCACGCCTGTCTTCTGTGTGGTCGTGGTATTGGTGGGGGCGAGCCGGCCCTATAGTGCGAACATGTTAAAGCGGGCTCTACCACTGTAATACACTCACATACAAATCTTACATTAGTGCCAACATAAAATACTCTCAGTGTAACAAAATTCTAATCCTGCACTAATTGTTTTAAAACTATAGCTTGGTTTTAATAAAGACTCTTACTATATTCTAGAAATATATAGAAATTTATTTTTCATATTCTTGGTTTGAGTATACTTGAGTTGAAATTAAAAATAATAACAGTACACTTACCTTATAAGCATTCTGTTCACCGTGAGGATCAGATAGATCGATGATTTGCTTCCACACTTCATACCATCCGTGATGTTGTGCATATTGGTATGTATCGAGTAGACATTGTTTTACATCCAACCACCTGAAAAAAATAGTTGTAGTGACTTTAATCAAAAAATACATACAATTAGCTATTACATATACCAGTAGAACCTCGACAACTACAACCTCAGTAACTTAAAAACCTTTATAACTTAAAAAAATAATATGTTCCGTTCCCATCAGAGCCCAAAACCTCTACAACATAGACCCTTGATAAATTAAAATTGTGTTTCCCTTGGACTTTAACCTATCGAGGTTCTACTGTATAACATATGCTAAAGTTGGAATGGATGTTCGTTTCAAGGTATCTCTGGAACAGCTCAACGGATTTAAAATTTGGCACAGAATTAAAACATAGTCTGATAATATAGGCCATTTAATAAGCTTTTTAGCATACAGAAGTAGTGGGCAAAAACTAACTAAAAATGCTACTAGAGTTCCAAATATTATTTTGAAGACTTATTATTTTATTATTAATTAACTAGTGTAAATGTTTTAGAATGGTTGTATGTTATGGTTAAATAATTTCAGTGAAATTGCTTACTATACAACCAAGTTTAGAAATATTCCTTGATATTGTGTTACTATATAAATAATAGTAAAATGCTATATATATAAGAAACTCACCATGGACTCGTAAAGAAGTGATACAAAGCCTCATAGATAGGCACTTCATCACCCTCACTGTCAGTAATTGTACCATAGAAGTACAAGTAGCTACACCACATGGACAAATATAATACTGCGCACAATCCCAATATAGCAATACGTCTGTAAATAAAATAACATGTCCATAAATCAATAACAAAGGTTACTTAAGTAATAAATGCCCTTTTACGGTTTTGAACTTACGTTGGAAGATTACGTCTCTTCGGGGTTCTTCTCCACTCTTTAGAGAAGGAATCAAAGCTAAGTGCGGTTGCTAGAACCATCAAAGTGAACCAAACTGTTTCATCGTAAATGTAGAACCGGATCGGATATGAAGCATAAGCAGCTAACAATGGCCACTTGAGTGAGCCTTGCTCCCTTCCAATATTACCCACAGTCCACACACCTATAAAAATAAAAATTGTTTTAAAAATCAAACAAAATATTGTAAATGCGAAAGTTTAGATGGATCAATAGATGTTTGTTAGAGTTTGTAGCCTAAATGGCTGAACAGATTTTGATAAAATTTGGCATAGACATAGAGGATAGTCTAGAAGAGCACATAGGCTACTTAGTTTTGTTTTTCTTAATTCCACGCGGATGGAGTCGCAGGCGAAAGTTAGTATAATATAAATACCATTTAAAAAAAATATAAAATATGCTGATCTAAATTTTATTAGATTACATGTTACTGTTTATGCTGATTTTTTTTTATTATTTGGTGCCATCATCATCATTGCTATTTTCAGAACAATATAGCATATATACATTTCTATCAGCCATCATATCTGAATCCACTCCCTTTTTAAACTTGTCTCTTTCACACTCTTTCACACAATCCATCTACACTTTCTACAGTCATTCTCTACCTTTGTAGTAAACCCATTCTTAACACTTTCTGGTTTATGTCCCCATCCTCTTGTCAGATAACATGTCCATACCATGCTAACATTTTACTTCTCAAACTGGTGTCATAAAAGCTAATAACCAAAACACACATCAATCATTTCCTTTAAGTTTGAAACATTAGAAGAAATCTTACCAAGAGCTGTCACCAAGGGTATAAGATAGTTGAGATATCTTAAATTGATGCCCCAAAAGTTATCGGGTGGCACCGCAGACATCATCATCTGCCCCCATGAGTAGCCCACCATTAACATTCCAGTGAAGCGATTCATTGAGAATGGTGGCTGAAAAAAAGTTCCTATTGCTAAAGAAACATAACTTTTTAAATTTAACAACACATGTTATTGTAGGTGTCTTCAAAAATCTTGATGGCTCAAGATCATCTAAAAACTGCTCAGTGCACTCTTCCCAAATCTAAAAATATTCTATCGAGAAAACTGTTGTTGACCCACCAAGATATATGATAACTACTTTATAAGGATGTTAACAATCAGAGACAGACCTAATCATTTCTTGTATTAAATACCTGATAATCCTATTTCCTATGATCTTTATATTGTATCCTTCAAAAACTAGCGAATCTGCTGAGTTAAATAAATGGGAACCTGGATGGACCCCAAAATTATTAAAATTCTCCTTACCTTTTTGTTGTGTAGGATCCTCTTTATCACCTCTTGCATTTGTTGAGGATCTTCATTTACATCTTTGACATAACGTGGAAGACGAAATACCTCGCTCAGCCATCCGATACCAAAACCGCCGAGAGTTGTCCACCAAACAAAAGCATGTCTATCCCGTCTTAGATAAAAGTGATGTAAGCCGAATATACCGCCAAAAAGCCACAGAATATAGGCCCACAGTAAAGATTTCTTTCCCGACATCGAATAACCTCCTAACCCCATTCTCGGTGATATTTGTGCTCAATATGTTAAAGGTTTTAAGGCAACTTCCGAAGGCACTTAATTCAATTCTTCAGTGAAATTATAAATATAAAACACTCCACGTTCATAAAATAGATGACAAATCAAAGTTTTAGTAATGTGACACGTAAAATGTTAAAACGACTCATATAGTATTTTCTGATTCTTTAGAAACTTGGATATAAAATTTTACCACTAAATATTCTTTAAATTCTTTAATTTATAAGAAAATGCCTGCGAGTCATTAAAATTTAGAAAAATACTTTAAAAATTTAACAGTTAAAACAACTTGACACACAAACACAAATATTTCAAATCGTAAAACGTCACGTCACATTTGAAGTAACGATTCTAGTGTTTCCATATAACCGGTAAGTATTAAAAAAAACCGGTATTTGTTTAATTCGAGTTAAAATAACTGATGGATAAGAATCGATGCTTTATAGTGGTTTTGTATGGTATTTTTTTTACCATTTCCATTACTATAAGATTAAAACAAAAACTAATTGCCTCGCGTTATGTTAAACAAAGCTGCATTCCTTCGTAGTCGTTTTAAAATAAAATGGTAATATTTTATTCGGAGGCTGGCACAAAAAACGAGAAAGTATTCGTAACACCGCCGATTATAGTTTTTCATGATACTCTCTTGATCTTCAATAGTTGATAATCATGGTAACATAATTAAATGGGTAATTTAAGAAAATAAAACGCCAATACTTATTTATTCTTTATTTCTTAAAAAAAAATATATACTTAAAATTATCTCAAAATATTTTAAAATCAATTTAATTTTGTGATGTAACGTAGTTGCAACCTCTACGTAGATCGGAATTTGCAATGGCTACTTTAATCAACGAAAAGTAAACAAAAGGTTGCCGTTTTTATAATCAAAAAAACTTTCTAACCGGTTCAAATCAATGTTAAAAATATGTTATATACCTATTCACTTATTCCACTACTGTTTTATATTAAACCATATAATCGTGACGATTGTAAGACATTTATAGATCAAAACTTTTTATTTTCCATATATCTTATTAAATACTTCTAGTAATCCACGGTGCTGAATTAACTAGACAAATTTTGCATCAGTAACTCGACTGTTGTCTGAGCTGTAATGCAAATGCACAAAGATAATGTGCAAATCAATATCTTCACACACTATTTTTCCTATAGAAAAATGTGCTCGTGAGATAAACGAATAATCAGCATATATCGATTAAAAGGAAATGTATTCTATTTGATATATATCATGTTTTAAGTAGACACATACTTAAAAGAATATTGATTATTTTAAAACGTTAATACTAGTGATTTAAAACATTGACTTGCTACGAGATTAATAAATTTTATTGGACTGTATTAACAGTAACTGCTTCAAATTTTATAGCAGATTATCTCTTATTAATTAATCTGATATTTTAAGATCATTTCGGAAATATTACTTTAGCAGAAGAAAAATGACGTAGCACATGCAAATAGAAAGTATCCCATCCCAGCAAAGTTTAAACGGTATATTTACTTATTCTATAATATATTAGTGCCGAGTTATACATCTAGTTCTGTAGGCTTGAAGCAGCCGATAAATTGCTTACAAATTCAGATCTACGTAACACTACAGTGTATCCAAGTACATAAGATGGCTCCTACGTAAAGTATTATAAGTAAAATTTTGCGATTTAAACATTTTGTTTTTTTTACTTGATAAAACATTTCTATGCTATTTTGAAAATAACATAAGAAAGAACTGGTCTTGGATAAGCATGTATAATCAATCAATCGTTTTTGTGCTGTAAAATTTGCGTTTCAAACATACTTTAGTTTACACAGGAGCCATCGTATGTGAACCTGACTGAGGTCCGTCGAAGACAAAACTCAGCTCAAAAAATACCAACACACAAATAGACAAATCGTCATATATTTAGGTATTTCTTGAGCTGATTTTTGCCGAAAATTTTGAAATCACATCTGTGATTCTGGAATGTTTGTGGCGTTTTGTTCAGGCGGCTGTTCTGTATCGGCGCTATACAAAACTAATTGGATACTTGAAGCTTTAAGTGGCCGTTTGATTAAAAACATGTATCCGATACCACTCACATTTAATAAATATCCAACTAATTCTAATTTGATGTCAAATAAAGCGGATTCGCTTAGGGATGCCGCTTCATAAAAATGAGATCGTATATCTCAGTGCTGCGTTTATCCAATACGGATTTGATAGCCTATTCGACTACCACGAAAAGTAGGCCGTAAGCGACCTATTAAAATACAATACACATGTATTTATTAATATCTGATGAGAATGAGGCCGGTGTTTAGATGAAGGACGATTGCAGAACATCCTCGACGGCTTGCTCGAGGCAGTGCTTCAACTCGGCGTACGATACCACGAACACGCTCTGCTCATCCCGAGACATCAGCACCACCTATAATATATACATTATATTAATATTATAAATTTTCACAGGGGTAGTGCCCGCTTTAACATGTTAGCACTGCAGGGCCTGCACGCCCCCAGTAATACCACTACCACACAGAAGACAGGCGTCAAATGGAAGCATATCAATGTTTCGTCTGATGAGTGTGATGCCGGAGGCCTAATTTAAGTTCCTTTCTCTTTACCACCGTCTTCTTTTAAGGAGAGGATGGGAGGGGGAAGTGGATTTGACGGAGGAGGAGATAGGAAGACGCATAGGAAGGGCAAACATCCTCTTTATGTGCGTCTCCTCCTCTGTCGAATAAGAGTAGGCAACGCATCTGAAATTGCAGATATCTATGAGCAGCGGTCGCTTCGCCATTTTGGCGGATTCAGGTGGCCGCTTGTTCGTTTGCCACTTATTGTTATAAAAAAATATGCAAAAGTTTAATTGATATTTGTTAGTTTGTAAACGGATAAACGATTCTGGTCAAAATTTGGCATAGATCAATGAATGAACATGTATTTATTGCCATAAAAAAGAAATGACATAAAAGGACTTATTCTAAAGAAAACAAACAATAGTGGCAAAAAGTAGCCAGAACAGCGTAAGTAGGAGGAACAAAGTCGTTTCTGCGCTGATTTTAGGATTATTTTGTATAACGTAATCTGAAAAAATAAACCACGTGGAGGGATTCGCGGGCATAAAGCTAGTTATATAGGCTTTTTATTAGAGATAGTATTATTCAAAAATATGCTGTAATCGCTAACATCCTACGGCAAGAAGTAGTGTGTGTTTACGCTTTATTATATTAGTATAGATTATTTTTTTTAATTTCACGAAGACGACCAAAAGCTAGTACTAGTTTTGATGGATGTTTGTTACAGTTTGGAGCCTAGCTGCTGACCTCATCTCTATGAAATTTGGCATAGATGTATAGTATAATCTGGAAGAACACATAGGCTACTTAGCTTTGTTTTTAATTTTTTGCTAATAATTAAATATATATTTACCTTAGTGTTGCTGCCACTATCGAGATGGTTGAGGCAGTACGTCAGATGGGCCTGATCGAACCAGGGCCTGCCGTCCTCAGTCACCGAGTGGAACACGTAGTCACGGAACAACTTTAGCATGTACCGACCACCAGTCTCCGACCACTCCGGGTCCATGTTCAATCTAAACAACACCAAATGATTATTAAAACATAGAATTTAATTAAATAGAATAGTATAAAATATGTAAAATGATAATTTCTGCTTATCCACCGATACTACTGATCCCAAGGGTTCTTTCGGAAGATCAGCGCTGGGTACTTTGATCAGAAGCATCCAGCATTTAGCTGAGCGAGGACCCAATCCGATCAGCATTGCAATACACTATTTAAATATTTCGTTCCTTCTTTATTTACGTGTTTATTATTTCTTATTTAATTATTTTATTGTTTTTTCTAATTCCTAATTGTGTTTAGTGTTGACAAAATTAAATGTTATTTTATTTAATATATCAATAGTTTCATTAATATTATAAAAAATATTATAAACTAGCTATCACCCAGGACTTTGCACAACATATAGTCTGTGTACTTCTAGATGCTCTATATCTATCCTAAATTTCATTCAGATACGGTCAGCTGTTGAGGCTACAAACTCTAACATCCATCCATTCAAACTTTCACATCTTACTGTGTAAGTTTAGATGGATGGATGTTTGTTAGTTTATTGCCTAAATTGCTGAATATATCTCGATGAAATTTGGCATAGATGTAGTATAGTCTGGAAGGACACGAACTACTAAGTTTTAGCAGTTAGCAGATGTAGTCGCCGTTAAAAGCTAGTTAATTTTACAAATTTGAATATATCGGATGATACATTAAAATAAAATAAACGAAAATCTGGAGATAGTGCCTTCATATAACTTTGGGTTTTAATGCAATGTACTAAATATTCACTTTTCTTTCATTATCTTCGCCAAAAGACTTCAAAATGTTTCAATATAAGTCACTAACATCGTAAAAATCGTGAAAAAAATTATAAAAGGTAAAAATTCTTACTCAGGACGTTCATTAACAACGCCAAGCTTGATCAGGATTCTCAAGAGACGACCATTGTCCATCTCATTAGCCAACTGCTCCTCGAAAACATCAGCACGACGTTCCAAAGCCTCCACCTAAATTAAACATAAATAATTAATAATCTTGCATACAAAAACCTATAAAATTAAATAAATTCCTCCCTAAGTATACCAATTATAATAAAACAAAGGTATCTGCCCGGTTGAAGGCTCCACTATCGGTTAGTTCTGTTAGAAATTATGTAAATCCTATAGTAATAGAGAAATAAAAGGAGGGCGCTAGTGAGCTATCATAATTTAGTTTCCATTATGTCCGCAGAATTAATTATCTTCTTGGGTACTTAAGTAAGAATAAATGAGTCAATTAGATTCGCTATTATTTCTGCCACAAAATATGTAAAATGGACTTGGATATAAATTTAAATAATAACGCAAAAGATACATTACAATAAAGAAATTCACACTTTTTGATATGAACAGAGTGGCGTTAGTGAGCTATCATAATTGATGGCCAGGTTATTATATAGAGTATTATTTCCAAACAAGTTAGTTAACATGTAAGACTAGCTGTTGCTCGAGACTTCCTCCGCGTGAAATTTATAAACAATAAACATTATGGCCTTTACCTTTCTAACGGTGAAACAATATTTAAAATCGCCTCAGTAGTTTTTAAGTTACATACAAAAATATAATTTTTTCTTCTTTATCATACTAGTATAGATTTCTGGATTTCTAATAATTATTAAATTTTATACAATGTGTAAATATAAGAGAAAATAATTTACCTGAGTATAAAACCTAGCGCCAATCATCGGCATGAGATCAGTAACGGTGCGACGGCCGGGAGACTTCGTCAGCAAGAAACTACAAATAAAACTACATTAGGTAAATAAATATGGTGTTATAAATTACGAGAATAAATGCCTGTCCCACCACTGGCTGATAGAACATCGGATAGCTTGTGACATCACTATCAGATAAAGTACCAAAATCAATTTTCATCATATATTTTAAACATCGGATTGTTATTAGATAATTTACAATTTGATGACACAAGCCTTAAATATGGCAATTTTGTCCTTTATCGAAATATAATAGTATATTATAAAATTTACAATAATTTGGATGAATTAAATGGATACCCAGGAACAGGTTACCATATTAAATTAATTAAGTTATCTTACTTATTACTAGTAAAGAATGTTCTTTAAAAATTTAGACATCCCACTTAACTCTAGAATTATTATTGATTTCGATGAAATTTGAATAGTCTGGAAGGAAACATAAACTACAATATTTTTATTTCAACAGCTAGTAATAAAATTTACGTACATTATCAGATTCTGCAGATCAGCAGAATAAGTCCTGGAGATCAGATCCATGGAGGCTGCGAGATTATCGCAATGCATGGAGCGGCAAGCAAGAGCAAGGGCCAGTCGGCCTAAAGCAATCAAATCCTCTTGCTGGGCCTAAAAAATATAAACACAAGTATTAAAAAACATTTAAAAACAAGTATAGTAGTATTCACACTTAATAGTGGCTCCGAATAATACAGTCTCGCAAATTCCCAGTATTCCACTATTTGACTTGCTCGTTAAAATTAAATAAACTTCACCACTTCTTAAAAACAACTAATTAGATAGCAGTGATTGTAAATGAAAGGATAGTAAAAGAAACTAGCCCTGTAGCACAAATTTTTGATATACATTTTAGGCTTATATTGGTTCTTATTTCAATATGTTCAAAGGATTACTTTTAAGGTGGAACACTGTCAGTTTCCCTAACTGTACATGCTCAGCTAATCCCGAGCAGTTGTAAAGTTTGAATCTTGTTATACCTGGACGATATCTATGGCGTTGGAATACTCCATTACATCAGCAGTTCCGCACCAGGATATGCGTACTCTACATCCGCTCATCACCACCTTAGTTGGATCCAGCGTCCTGTACACAACATTAATTACAAAAATAAATAACAATGAAAACATAAACACTGTAAAAATTAGTTAGGCACTGTTTAGTTAAATATGTGATAGCGCTCTGAGCCCCACTGATTGATATAATAGAAATCAATGTGGTCATATGTATCACAATATTACTTAGTTCATAAACACATTATTTACAATCTCTATAAAATATTTTATTTTATTGTTATATATTTAAGTGCACAAATGACAACGAGGGTCTTTACTATTGGCTTAGTTTTAGTCCCTGTCCTACAAGGCTTTTTTTCCATTTTATTCACCACCTAAATTAAATAGCGTGTTGTAAATGTAGGTCTCTGTGTTAAAAATGGAATTTTAAAAAAAATATGCTGTGAGCGTTAATATCCTACATAACAAAGGAGTGTTTACGCTTTATTACATTAGTATAGTATAGTGATAGTGGTTCACTACCTTATTGTAGTGTCTAATTGTTTTAATACAGTATTTTATGTATAAATAATAAAACTTTACCTGCAAGCCAGTCCAGCGGTGTGTATAGCGCGCAAGGCAGCAGTCAGCTGCACGAGGAAACTCCACAGAACCGCCTCCGGGAGTAACGCACCGCAAGCCAATGCACGGAGCATAGCGTTTTTCTAAACAATACAATTTAAATGTACATTTTATTTATGAAATGTACCTCATGATTGCATTCGCGTGGAAATAAAAACAAACTTATCACATACATCTTTACTAAATTTCATCAAAATTTAGGCTACAAACGAAAGCTATTTAGGCTACAAACTCTAACAAACATCCGTCCATCTAAAGTAAGTACAATTAGCTCTTGCTGGCGACTTCGTTCAGTTAATAAATAGTGAATAACATAGCCTGTTACTCACTAGTAACATAGCTTTTAATGGTGAAATATTTTTGAAATCGGCCCAATAGTTTTTGAGTTATTTCGATACATACAAAATACAAATCATTTATGTTAATAAATCTAAATTACTTTAATTGTATTCTGTAACCAGAAATAGTAATATTTGAAGATTTTTGCATTTGTCACTAACATTTGAAGATTAACGTTTTAAGAGATCATACATAGCTTTTTCCTGACATGAGGGCAAAGGTTTTCTCTTACATATTTCTGTATGGCTTTATATTGTAATATAAAGAATAGATACTTAATTTACAATATTTCACACATGTTGATTGCTGTTTATTTTAAAGTATTAGATGCTTTTGAAGATTTTAAAATTTCTCAATAGCCTAATGCTATAGGGGGCTGTTAATTATGTTTTTTTTATTTCAAATTTCTATTAAAAAAAACTTACCTGGTGAGTATAAGGACGCGGAGCATCCGGATCAGATGAGAACGGATCATGCAAAGTTCCATTGGAATCAGAAGAGTTGCCCGCACCATTGTTGCGAATGTACTTGCTCATTAGCGTCTCGCAGCCAGGGTGATAATCATACACCATCACCAGAGCTGCAAAACATATCTATTTAATAACTAATAGAAAACAGGAAAATGTCAAATGACTTATAACATAACTGATTTAAGGCCTGTCCCACAAAATTATAAATTGTCCGATAACAATCTAACATGTACAATATGTGATGTAAATATGTGTGGTTGATGGATTTTGTTACCTCATCTGACAGTGACATTGTTTTTAAGCTATCTGAGCCTTTATCAACTAGTTATGGGATGGGCTCTTAATATCATAAAACTTCAGAAAATCTTTTTGGAAAGTTGGAAAGAAGACAGACAGACAATAAATTTTCTATTAAACAGGTAAACTATACATGTTAGTTTTCGTAAATTAACAAATTAAGTAGCATGATAATTTCCAAGAGAACATAAGTAAAAAAACATTGAACATAGAGAAAAAAAATAAGTAAACAATAATTTGTCCCGGCATCTCAAAAACAATAAAGAACTTTCTATCAGTAATTATTTTATATGAGAATCACAATTATCTCCTAGAAGCCATGGTAATGAAGTACCATTGTCCTAGTATCTCAAAAAAGCATTTATATATTAGATTTTATATGTAGTTTTGTGGCAACAAAAATTATTTTTATTATTATTTTTTATCTTTCTCTAAAATCGGTAAATACTTACAATTATCTCCGAAAGCCAGTGTAGTGAAGCATTCCTGGAGTCTAACCACATTGGGGTGGTCAAGTTGCTTCCACAGATCGAGTCTCGGGTTCGGTATCGCGGAGTAAGAGTGGAGACGACGCAGAGCGAAATGCTCGCCGCTCTGTCGGTGAGTGGCGCGGTACGATGACGTCATCGAATGAGGACTCACACCCTCCAGAGGTACCAAGTCAGAGTACATCTCAACATTCTCCGGTAACTCTGGAACAATATCCTTATTACAATAACCTTGTACTGATATAATTATCACCAGCTCACTATATGTCCCTACAAAGGAACTATGAACCTATCCTAAGTTAGTGAATAGGCCATAGTCAAGCACGTTGTACTGCGGGTTGGTTAACTTCACACATATCATTGAATTACCTCGCAGATAGGTGCAGGCATCATGATGTTTTCCTTCACCGTAAGATCGTCGGGTAAATTATGTACATATGAAAATTCAAAAATCACATTGGTACAGCGGGATTCGAACCCAAGAACTGTAGATTACAAGTCAAGTATTTAAACCACTGGGCCTCCGACGCTTTTCTCTCTGTACTGATAGTTCTAACTTAAATCCGTTAAACTGTGTGTGTGTAAAATTAGTTGAAGCATTGGAGGTATTTAATTTTAGTAGAAATTTAAGTTACACATACATACAGTTTGATATAAGTTAGAGAATGTTTTGCCTGTGTTTGTGCGTTTTAACTGCTTAGTTTAGCTTTAGAACATCCACAGCGGGCTTTACTAGCTTTCGCCTGCGACTCCATTAACGTGGAGTTCAAAGAAGCAAAACTTAGTGACCTATATGTTCTTCCAGACTACCCTCTACGTCTATACCAAATTTCATCGAGATCCGTTCAGCCGTTAAGGCTACAAACTCCTAACAAAATTCATTCATCTAAACTTTTGCATTTATAATATTACTAAATATTGAAAATAGGTTTGAAACATATCAGTTTCCTATACATCCCAACTGAAGAGCTCAAACCCTAGGAGACAAATAGGTTAAAACACTGAAGGTTGACTTAGACATATCTTTAAATTTCTTCGCAGATGTAGATTTCATTGCATTTCACTTTACCGTTAAAACGTTGAACGTATTCAATTTTCTGTCTCCGGTCAAACCCATTTAAATGTCTAAGCAGATGATATTAACCTCTCAGGTTACAATTTAAATTGTAAAATAGTATACCTGAATGATCTTTAGCATATGACCCGAAATAAACCCTGGATATAAGAAACATAGATATTTAAACGCGTGATTTCAAAATGCGTATCAAATCGTAAAAATGACGTTTTTACCTATGTACTGGTACGGCATCAGGAATATATCTTTGTTCCTCTGGTAGGTCTCGGCTTTGATAGTTTCTGGCATGTAGAAAGATTCAGCAAGACCTAAAAAGAAATAAAACATCTTCAACATTTACATCCCAAAAAAATGAAAAAGAGATCGTCCAGAAACCCTCTTTAAATAGCATCAAATGTAATGTTTATATAAAAATGTACAAATATATTCTATGTATACCAGTTGGGCAGATTTTGATGAAAAAATGCAACATTCTGTGTATGTAAACATATAAAAATAATACAAAACCATTCTGTTTAATTTAAATTTAAAACATTGTTTATACTTTTGCTTTGCAAAACATTCGCAACATTCAGCTAGTTCAAAATAAAAATTTCGAATAAAAAGTTACTTTACGTAAGTATTCCACTTATTACATCGCAACTGGCAGCAGTATTAAAAGTGTTTTTTAGGTTTTTATACCATATTTTAAATACATATTTGACTATGCAATGCAAATTTTATTTAGCAAATCTTTCCAATATTATAACTGCGAAAGCTTGTACTTTTGAATATGTTACAAGGTATTTCCTAAACTGCTGATTGGATCTCGATGAAATTTATCATAGATGTAAAGCACAGTATGGAAAAACACATATGCTACTTAATTTTTTTTATTCTTCGCCGGCGACAGTTACAAAAATTTCAACAGATACAAAACTCAGCACTTCATAACTAATCATTATATTTTAAAACATTAATGTTCAAAGTATAGTCAAATTCAATGGAAATGAGAAATTATGTACACAATTTACTGGCTATTAATGTATTTTGTCTCTTGGACTCTTTGGAAAGTTCTAATGCTCAAAATGACAATACAAACATATCTTTTTAGTAAATCTGTAAACCTTATGAAGGTAAAACTGTTTGTTTTTGTTATAATTTCTCATTTCTGTTGCATTTGATTAAAAAAGTTATGCTAAATATTGTCTGCTGAAATAATAAAAATGTTCTGCGATTTGTCAGAGTTTAAAGAGTAGATTGTAAATGATGCTTTGCAGTGAAAACTCAAAGTAACTAAACATAAGCTTAGCAAACATAGCACTGAACAGTGGTAGTGCCCGCTTTAAAATGTTCGCAGTGCAGGGCCGGCTCGTCCCCACCAATACCACGACCACACAGAAGACAGGCGTGAAGTGGAGGCAATTCCGCCTACAGTCTGATGAGTGTGGTGCCGGAGGACTAATTTTAGTCCCTTTCCCTTTCCACCTTTTTCTTAAGAGGAAAGAGTGGGAAGGAAAAGTGGATCTGACAGTGGAAGAGACGCATAGGAAGGGGAAATGTCCTCTTTATGTGCGTCTCCTCTTTGTTCAATGAAGGGTAGGCAACGCATCTGAGATTGCGGATGTTAATGGGCAGCGGTCGCTTTCTATTTCAGTGAATTCAGGTAGCCACCTGCTCGTTTGCCACCTTGTTTTATAAAAAAAAACAGAAACAATATAACTTATAAAGCAAATGTTAGCAAAATCAAATAGCTAAAAAAGCTTTAATAATCATATTTGCCTTGTTATTATAAAATATCCTCTAACATTTTTATAACCGCATAGCATTTCAAATCATTTAATTTTCTTCTGTTCTGTTAAAATTAAAAAAAATACATACCAGATTTGGAGCCAATAGGACCCGGGACAATAGGACCTGGAACCATGTGGGGCGGAGTGTTGCAGTACATTTGGGATGGGAAGCCCGAGGATTGGTTCGGGCCAACTCCTGGACCCATCATCTGTTCTGCACCACCTGGGAAGTGATGAAACATTTATATATGCATTGACGATTGGAGTTGTCTGAAAATTCTATTTCTATACATATTTATAATATCCATGAAAATAAAATTTAGATAACAAAATTACTAAATAAATATATGAAATAGTGTATAAATAAATAACTCAAGCGAATTTATCATGTGTTCGCGTTGACGCGTTTTATGTTCGATTTTTTTTCGATTGCTATTACGGTTTTGATCACATTTTGATGCACATTTATTTGTTGTACAACACAGTTGATGAGTGAAATGAACTGTTACACCCAATTTTACATTCTAAATTTGATAAGCAGACTGATGTAAATGATTTTGCGTCGGTGGCTCAGTGGTTTAAGCACTTGACTTGTAATCAACAGGTCTTGGGTTCGAATTTTCGATTTTTCGAATTTTTATATGTACATAATTTACCCGACGTTCTTACGGTAAAGAAAAACATCGTGATGCAACCTGCACATATTGGAGAAGAAATTCAAAGATATGTGTGAAGTCAACCAACCCGCAGTGGGCTAGCGTGGTTGACTATGGCCTAGTCACCCCTTATTAGGGTAGGCTCCGAGCCCCTCGGTGGGGACATGTAGTGAGCTGGTGATTATGATGATGATGACTGATGTAAATACTTACCAGGCTTGGGAATCATTGGGCCCGGTACCATGTGGGTAGGGGTGTTGCAGAACAATTGCGAGGCATAGGAAGTAGAGGCGCTTTGCACCGCGCTAGCCCCACGACAAGCCTCAGCTCCAACTGTAGCATTAAATATCAATCTTACTAATATTATAAATACTACAGTTCAGATATATGGATGTTTGTTAGTTTGTAGCCTAAAGTGCTTAAATGGATCTCGATAAAATTTGGCATGGATGTAGAGGATAGTCTGGAACACATAGGCTACTTGTTTTAATTTATTTGAATTCCATGCAGAAAACGTCACGGGCGAAAGCTAGTGGCATATAAATATCAAAGATTAAGAAATACCCAACTGTCGAAATTTATCCATTATTCGAAAGTTCTAAAGTAAACTTGCAGCCTGAGTCTGCACTAATGTCTTTGGACTGCATTGTAACAAGTCAAAAGATAAAAGATGGTAATATAAGATATTTAGAAGACACAATTTAATAAATAAAAACTTAAGATAACTACTACTAACCTGGCTTGGGAACCATCAAGTTAGGTCCAAGATGAGTTGGAGTACTGCAGAACATTTGAGAGGAGTAACCCGAAGATGGGCTCGGACCACCACTGGCTCCAATGATTGGTTCTGTACCTAAAATTGACAATACTAATTAATTATTATTTCCAAGAAATAGGTTAATAAAATAATAAATAAACTACTTACCGGGCTTAGGCAGCATCTGGCCTGGCACCATATGAGTTGGAGTGGTGCAGAACATTTGCGATGCATACGAAGTGGATGCACTTGGGCCAGGGTTACCTCCACGGCATGATTCAGAATTAGCTGAGAAATAACACATTAAAGACGAATACATCCATTCGATTTGATTATATACAGATAAGCAAATGAATGATGAGAAGCTGTTAGTATTTGAAAAAGCCTCAAGTTCTCCCCAAAGTAATGCCCATAGATGTCTTTTAAAATATGTAAAAACATTGCAATATTTGTTGCCAGTATAATGTAATACTTACCAAAACCAAAGCTATATATACATATCACAATATATGTGTATGATTAATCGATAACGAAATTAACATACCCAATGAGGCGGAGGAATTCAGACCTCCAGAAGTATTAAGTCCATCATTTGTTGGATAGAAGTAAGTTGTGCCGCCAACATTCTCCTAATAAAAAAAGAATAAGTAAGTCTTTGTCACATTTAGATAAATTATATGCGCTTTTATTTTTATTTTTCATATTTGAAATTACCTGTTTGTCAAAGATGCTTAAATAAATCTGGCAAATTGAAACATAAAACATCATTATGAGTACAATGGAAATATTGAATTATAATTTGATGGATGTAATTCACAGTTACCTGATGGACTTGCATATTGGGCACAGGCACCATAGTAGTAGGTGGTGAGTTTTCTGGTGATTCTGGCAATACATTAGTTGGTGGTGGTGGTAAAGTGAAGTAATTCATGGGAACATATTCACCTATGAATACCTGAAATTGATTTAAAACATTAATAATTAAGAAATCATTATTTCCAAATTTTTGTGAATGTACAATGTATTATAGTTATTGGTGCAAAGATCATACCAAAAGGTAATTATAATCTCTGCCAACACCCTATATACAAGAGGATTTCACATTGATGCCAATCTATAAAATCTTTTGAATGAATTACAGAAGATATTTACTTTAAGACATTAGGATGTAATGGTGATGTGAAGTATGAGTATATAAGAGTCCTTGAATCAAGATATTGTTGGTTTTGATTAAGTACCATAAATGCCATTAAACTGTACAAAATAGAAGATTGTCTAGCACTTACATAGCACCAAGACAACTCTCCAACCTTTAGTCTTTATGTTTACTTCAGTAGAGTCATACTATACCAATAATGAAACTGATCTGTAGAATAAACCCTTAACACTTACAAAACCACCGTTAGATCTGGTGAGATAACTTCCATTTCTAAAGATCGTAGTGGCATGGAAAGTGTTAAACCTGCATAAAATCATAAGAGATTTATGTGTAGTTAACTATCTTGACTAAAGATAAACTCGATAACCGCTAAACGAATAAAAAAAATATAGAAAACTTCTTATTTTGTTTAACTTGAAGTACTCAACATGTAACATTACTGTTATAAGTCTAAAATGATTGCAATTTACTTGGACAAAGAGTGTGCAATTATGTTGCAGAAATGGTCTAGCTCAACTGGTGGAAGACCACATCCACAGGAAAGGTGTGAATTTGAACTCCTGGTTTCTATGGACAAGTCTGCATGCTGGAGTCCTAATTTCAGTCCACATAATACACAAGACGAAGTTCAGGAAACACCTAATATTATGGCTACCATACTTAGTTAACAAAGTCACAATGAGATAGGGATTTCGACTCGGTAGAGGATGGGACGTAAAGAATAGGGAAATACCCTGTTTCTGTACGTCCCCACCTTTGTTTAAGGTAGACAGCATCTCAACAACTTGTTGAAGATGTCTATGTGTGTGCATCGCTACTTAAGCGAAATCTGTAAGCTGCTTTCATTCACCACCTTAATACTATAAAAATTAAAGTAAACACAATATTTTGTTTATGCATTTACCTAAGTAGACATATAATACAAAAATTGCAAGTTAAATGTGACATTTTAATATGTTTACCTTTCTCATAGCAGGTGGGGATGACTCCAAGCTGAGTTGACCCATAGCTTGATTCAAAGGTCTCGCAGGAGGGGTGGCCGAATGATTCTGAAAGTTAACAGTATTTGTAAAATCAATTAAGAAGTGATAAGTAATTTATAAAATAGATTTTTTTTAATTATTACAAACAGGTAATATATTTCATACCATATATGTGGCCAATTTGGATTCCTGAGGTAGTCCATTAGGTGGTGAGAATTGCATGTATATTGAGGGGTCCATTTTGGTTAATTAAAGTCTCGTTCAGCTGACCAATGACAAAACAATTTTAATTATTAGGATTTTTGCGAGAGAAATCTGCATACATTCATTTATATTAAAATTAAAGAAATATGTTTGAATATTTAAAATAATGTAGAAAAAATTTGTTGTTAATGCTTAGAAATAACAGTTATCTCTTTATAAGGAAACTCATTTGTGCTTTTATTTTATTTTTTGATAATCATCTATTTTTTGTGTATTAGTTGTTGTGTGTGCAAGCGGCCACTTGGCATTGCTTAAATAGGTAGACTGCTGCCTATAGTCAGCAATAGTCAGTTGTAGATGAGTTGCCTACATTTCATGAATAGAACGAGTTAAGTGAAAAAAATTTTTACTCTTGCTGATCCATTCCATTCCCTGCTGATTCCACATCTTTTCCCATCCCCTACTTATTTGAGAAGAATGAGAACATGATAAAGAATAGCATTAAGTGTATATCTCAAGTGAAAGAAGTCATGAAGTTTATGATTTGATGTAAACTTAAGATAATTCAAAAAGAACAATTCATGATTTTAACATGTGAAAACCTATTTTCTTTTATCAACAGTTATGTTATGAATTTCTATTACGATTATTTTAATTTTGTTGAAATTTCGTCTTCCATTACAAAACGTAGTATATCTGGTTGGGTATAGACTAAATTTTAACATAAATTAACTGAAGTTGATAAATCTGCAAATATTTCACTTATTTATGATGAATAAAGTGTGTAATTCATTTGTAATACAATTTTCTTAAAGGTGAAAAACGATTAGTAAGCGCAACATCGTTGTTCAAATTATCGATTATCTCTTGAACTTCGCATTTGCAAACATACGGTTTGTAAAGCATATTATACTTTAACTTACCATTAGTAAAGTAAAATCTTAAATATCTGCAACTGAAAAATACGTCGTACTTTACTTTACATGCAATAATGTCTGTCGTTTTTTTCTCGAGGTACCCCTTGAACATGTAGGTATAATTTCGATGTTACGTAGAAAGTAGAATACATGAAAATAAACAGTCTTACCTGATAATTTACACTTCTAGTGTTTCATTTTTTCTTCGGTTCTCCTTTTTCTATCAAATTTATATATTACCATTGAAAACAAAAGGTCCAGACATTTTTACAAAGTGCTTTCTTTTCTGCCTACTGTAGTTCTTGACGTTCTGTCAAGCCTTCGTAAATTACTGTACTTATACAGGATTTGTTTTTAAACGGGTATTTTTAGAATGTTAACAACTCATTTGTTCACAATCAATTCATAACATGAATTAAATATGCACTTTTTTTCCTAAATAAAAAACATTGGATATTGGATAAAGGACACGAAGCAAATACATAATACAACTGTGAATTGTGTGCGTGTTAAATATGCATGTATATGTACGTAAAACCATAGTCAACCAACCACTTAGCCTATGGTTTTAACAGGAAGCATAGACATGAGGCCATTTTATTGATTTCACACAATGACATCTAAAAATAGACAGGCTATAAGTGCTAATATTTTGGGCTTATAATATTTTCACCATTTTATCGCTGACCGTCTCGGTGGTGAGGATTTGAACTTACAATAAAGATAGATTGATTGTCAACATCTACAGGTATGCGGTTTAAAATATCAGATACGGATATCAGAACGAAGCAATATCTATGATTTGCAAGTAATGATAAGGGTAAACATACACTTCTTTGTTATGTAGCAGGTGTGCAATCACAGGACAGCAATTTTTGCATGTAACATTTTTTATAAAAAGCCCTATACACGCAATTTCACTCTATTAACAGTGTTAGAGCCCGTATCTATCTTCGTACGAATGGGTTGGCTCGCCCGATGCAATACTCCGAAAGCACAAAAGACAGGAGTAATGTGGAAGCAATTCAGCATTTCGTCTGATGAGTGTGGTGCCGGCGGCCCAATTTCAGTCCTTTTCTTATAAGGAAAGGATAGGATGGGAAAGTCGTCTTGATGGTGGAGGAAACGCATAGGAGGAAACATCCTCTTTATGTGCGTCTTCTCCTTCATCAATTTAGGGTAGGCAAAGCATCTGCAATTGCGGATGTCTATGGGCAGTGGTCGCTTCACCCTGCAGGTGGTCGCTTGCTCGTTTGCCTCTTTATTGTATAGAAATAATTGAACCACCGACTTCCATAAACGAACAGATTATAAACTATGATATTGTGTGTCCATTTGATATCCGGTATTTTGGCGATGATGATCGTGGTTGGTCCATGGATGTACTACTAGTACAGGATTGAGCTCTTGTCGAAAAATTCACGCCGAGCGGGACCTCATTATTTATACCGCGGCTCTGAAAAAGGAACGGGTGCTTTTTCCAAACCACTGTCGTAGGTTTTTGATTCAGGATGTTCTTCTTCGACCTAGAAAAATAGAGACCTAAATCTATGAAACACTAGTGTGGATTATTATGAAGTATTTTTAACTATTGTTGATTTCAATAAATATTTTACGATAATAATATTATTTCACAGTTGATTATTTACCGGTTCTTATAAAGACGCTTTGGACGCTTCACATTTCGAACCATAGACAAAGAAATAAAAACATCACTAATAGTCTCGAAAACCGGAAACTTCCGACTGATGGATTAAATCAATGAATTCTTGAATTTTTCAAGTCTTTGTCATATTAGTTGGTCGTCTCGAAAATTCTTCTATTTCTTTGTAAATTATTAATAGCTGCTTGTTATTGATTCGTTAGTATTCAGTACCCTTGCTTCTCGTACAGTAAATAAAGTGGGAATGTTTCAAAAATAGTGTTATTTGAAGGAATAATTCGTAATTTGTGGACGTCACATATTGTTGCGTGATAAAAGTATGTGGAACTATAATAAAAATGTTCGTAGTTATATAGTAACAAGCCAGTAATCATTTTTCTATTTATTCATCGTAGAATGGAGACTTCTTATCAAGGGGGTGTGGCGGAGGATGAAACCGACGATTTTCAACGATTGTCTCAAACAATTGCAAGCAATGTGAAGAAAATCTCACAAAATGGTAAGTTATATTATTTTAACGATTATTCTTTTGTTGGTGTTCACATAATTACAGAAACCAGAATAAGTGACAACGCATTGTTTATGTAGTACGTAATTTGCTAATTTGGGAAGGAACTAAGCAAATCGTAAGGGGGTGCGGTCACGGTAACATAGACAGCAAATATTTCTAAGACAAATATTACCTAGGGTTTTATAAAAATATGTAACAATTTACTATAGATACTAAAGTACTACCCACAATTTTTCCTCACATTACGTTATTTTACGACGAAATTATAGATTCGTCCAGAAAAATTGTTGAACTATTATACTAAATACTGCTATTTCACAGATCTTGTCAGTCTTTGTTGATGTAAATGATTTCTTTGTTTGTAGTAACTAATTCATTTATTGGGAAAAAGGCAATAATAGCTTTAAAAACAGCAAAATAGTGTCCATATACATGATTTAGATAAAAAACTATGATTGGTTTTAACATACAGACATTATGCTATCTGCGGAAAAATAATTTTCAGAGGATGATATTGTAAATAGCAACAAACACTTGTGACTAGACTATTTTCCTATACTTGATGGTCTTAGTTTACCCTGCTAATACAAGCAATGTTGAGTTGTTCTGTTAATGGTTACAATCCTACCCTTATATATAGAGATGTTCGTAGAATGGATTCATGTATATCTTGCTATGCAGCGGGCTCGCAGCTTTTTGCCTTATATAGTTATTGTAAATCTCGATGAGCAGTAAGCTAGTTTGGTGGGGATTTATATTGCAGGTGTGTTGCCTACCCTTATCCGACGGAGGAAAAGACGCACATAAAGAGGAAACTTCCCCTTCCTACGCATCTCCTCCACTGTCAAATCCACTTACTCCTCCTATCCCCTCCTTATAAGAAAAGGGTGGTAAAGATAAGGGGACTTAAATTAGGCCTCCAGCACCACACACATTAGGCGAAACACAGAATTGCTTCCATTTCACACCTGTCTTCTGTGTGGTCGTGGTATGACATCGGGCGTGCCGGCCCATTCATGCTAAGATGTTAAAGCGGGTACTACCACTGTGTTATATACATTCTCTTAGCAGTAGCAGGGTTTACAGTATCCATATATGTTAGGATTTATTCTTATAACACTTGTAAATATTTTCAAATTCAACAAAGTATGTTCAATTATAATAGTTTGAGAAACTTGGAGTACTAGTACTTGTATCCTGAAATATTGTTTTGTATTCTTGTAGTGTCTTCAATGTCTAAGATGGTCAACCAGCTGCAGACTCCACAGGATTCCCAAGAGCTTCGCAATCAGCTGTAAGTGTTATCACTTAAATTGCTTATTATCAGTCACTGCCCCCAATGCTAGGTTGACAAGTTTATTGTTTAAATATTACAAATACAAAAGTTAGATGGATGGATGTTTGTAGAGTTTGTATCTTAAATGGCCTAACCTTAGCTTAGCTTAGCTTGACCTGGTTGTAATTTAGCATAGATGTAAGACATACCCTGAAAGATAACATAGGGTATTGCTTTTTTTTAAAAATTCCATGTGAACGAAGTCATGGGCAAAAGTATAACAATAAAAACCTATAATCAATGTTTAGGCGTCAAATCCAAAACTACACCCAGAAGCTTGCTAAAGATACATCCACTATTCTGATGGAATTGATGAAGATGCGGGTCAACCAGACTGCGCAGAAACTGCAACGGGAGAGGCTGAGCGATGAATATATCAGCACTCTGAATACATTCCTGGTCAGTATATGTGTACTTTTTAATTTTGTTTTAATAATCACTCTCTAAATGTTATTGTTCAAGTGAAGAAACATATCGAGTATATTTTTATTTGTAGTAAAGACTAAACTTATCTATCAGATACAACTCAAAACAAACTGTCATAGATTAAGAAGTGGTTTAACTATAGGTTTTAAATGCAGTGAATTCTTTTTGTCACAGTTTTGTCAAAGAAGAATGAAAGAGATAACAATATGTATTAATCCCTTCTGTCTTCATTCAATCTCTTATGGAGAAAAGGATATATGTTTCACCATATATTTTAACATGCGAACATAAGGTGTTTAATAATTATTTCTATATTATTAGGTTATTATGTTCATTATTACCATCATTTTTCCATATCCATTTGAAATTCTTAGAGATTAAAGCATAATATGCATCTTTGCATATGTTATTGTAATTTACAGATATAAATAAATCTATAATTCATTTTTATGGATAATTTAATTCTAATTCAAGCTATAATTATAATATGATTGGTTTAGTTTTCGTTATTTATTTAGAAATGATAATTAGCGACAGTCATTATTAATAATTAAATTGCCATTTATTTTGTAGACATGTTTATTCAATTTGTTATACAAGTAATTATTCCTTTATCAAACAAAAACCTATACACGTGATATGATAGATAAATAATGTTAACATTCATATCTTTGGCATCATCATTTTATATGGTTTTATTGAAATAAAAATTCATTCAAAACAAACTGGCACAGATCAAGGGTAGCTTCCGAGCCCCTTGGTGGGGACATATAGTGAGCTGGTGATGATGGTCAATTATATGTTGATGATTGGGATGATTTAAATATTAAATTAAATAATTAATCACTAAATTCGATTTAAGCATTTGTTTAACTTGTTACCGACAGCGCGGCAGCCAAAAATACAAAAGACTTATTATAAAACAAACATATCTTTATTAACTTATTTACACAAAAAAATATACAAAACTTAAAACTCTCTTGATTACATCTTGACTTCTTTTTTATATATTTTCTTTATTGCCTTGGTGGCCAGTATGCAACCTCTTTGGCTGTATAAATACTGCTTGTCAGCCAAAGAGGTTGTATTTTGCACTCAACAGCATTATTACCTTACAGAATTTAGACTATTAGATGTTAAATTTAGATGGACGTTTGTTAGAGTTTGTAGCCTTACGGCTTAATAGGTCTCAATTAAATTTCGCATAGATAATATATTCTGGAAGAACAAAGAGGCTATTCATTTGTTTTTTTAATTTGACGCTGACGGAGTCACGAGCGAAAGCTAGTGTTATTATAAATTGGTACCATTTTTGTAGGGATGTGAGAAATTACTGGTGACATTTAGTTTAACTTGTTAACGTTAGTTAATTATGAAACAAGGTCAAGTTGTCTCGCTTTAAATAGAACAGTTAGTATCAATTAAAATGGGATGCAAAGGGTAGTTAATTTCAGACAAGAAATCATACTTCATACTAATATAAATGTGAAAGTTTAGATGGATGGATGTTTGTTAAAGTTTATAGCCTAAACTGCTTAACGGATTTCGATGAAATTTAGTATAGATGTAGAGGATAGTCCGGAAGAACATATAGACTACTCAATTTAGCTTTTTTTTAATTCTACGCAGACGGAGTCCCGGGCGAAAGCTAGTTTATCTGTAAATTACTTTTGTTGAGAAATAAAAATAAAAAAAATATATATAAAAAAACATATATAAATTATATCATGTTTGTTTTATTAATTTTAATTTTTACATTAATTTGCAGTTCACTAATTAAAATATGTTCTACACAGGCTACTCAGAAGTTAGCGGCTCAGAAGACGAAGGAAGATATACGTAAGGCTAAGGCCCAGTCGATCAATATTCCTCCTCCCCCTCCTGGAGTTAACAGTAAGTGTTATATAAAATATTACAAGATTATGTCTCATGTATTAACATATAAATATTTCACCACATTGCTAGGCTTTCACAGACTATTTATAGAAACGTAATCATGTACAAATGGTTTATATATCTGTAAATGGTAATCTATACTATTATAATAAAGTGTAAACACACAGTTCTTTGTTGCCTAAGATGTCAGCAATTACACCATATTTTTAAATGATTCCTTTTTTAATAAAAAGCCCTACACTTACGTCATGCTTTAGGCTATATATTTTCACGCCATTAAACTTAGGGAGTAAATATTTTGGATAAAAACTCTAATGTGGGAAAGAGACCATAAATTGCTGTTAACATTAAGAAAGAAAGATTGCTAAGGCTTGTCATGTCATCTCATTTTGACATTTGTTATTGATGATTTTACACATGTAAACAATTAAATAAAATTTTCATAATTTTATGCGGATGAAGTCGCACGGGAACAGCTAGTCTATACAAATATGAGAAGGAAAAGTTTGTATTTATGTATGTATTTGATTCCCGCAAAAGTAGGCTGATGTAAAAAATTCTTTCTCCATTAGAAAGGTAATTTATCTGTATATAAACAAATCATATCATTCTGCAACGATCCAACATATCTTATTGAAATTTGGCACAGATATAAAATAAAGTCGACACATGGAATAAGGTACATCTTCGAGTAATGTCCGGTTCCCGAGGGATACGTGGCTTTTTGTTATTTATATAGTTCGCATGTTTTCTAATACCACGCGGACAAAGTCGTTTGCAACAGCTAGTAATATTATAAATGCGAAAGTTTAGATGGATGGATGTTTGTTGCCTAAACGGCTGAACGGATTTCGATGAAATTTGGTATAGATATAGAGGATAGTCTGGAAGAACATATAGGCTAATCACTTTTGTTTTTTTTATTTCACGCGGATGGAGTCGCGAGCGAAAGCTAGTCTATCTATAAATAATAGTGACCTTGTAAGATTTAAGGAACTGATTGTATTTCCCGTACTATAAACATAGATTTAACGGCACTCCACAATTGAATTCCCAACGCCATTGTGCATTTTAGTTATCATTGTTAAGTTCACAATGAATTACGATTATAATATAAAAATCCACCAAACATCTACAAAAGTACTTTATTTAGTATTCAAGGCTAAATGTCTTGGCATACATAATAGTATGAAAATCATAATTTTTTTTATGGCTTATTGCTATACAAAGTAAGGTATTTGGACGTAATAAATACTTCAAATAACCAATATGGAGGTGCACAAACTACTCGATTTTTTCATGTACAACTAAACACTTGAATTAGCGCCAAAACAATCGACGATCGCACAACCGTTGTTCGACAGTTTAGTCAAAGGTGTGTATATTTTTCATAGATAAAAATGTTAATTTTCTACAGGCAACAAGGATCCATGGGATGATATGGGCGATTCAAATATCCGTAAACAGGAGCAGCTGACGATGCAAACCGAACGTGAACTTCAAGAGTTGGCTGAACGCGAAGGACATATTCGTCAACTTGAGGTATATTTCTATTGTGTGCCATTTTTCTATTTGACTAGCATTTGCACGCGACTCCGTATGTGGAATTGAATGAAACAAAGTAAGTAACCTATGTGTAATTATCCTTGACTTCTATGACATTTCATTAAGATCCATAAAGCCGGTTTGGCTACCGGTTAATAGTATGTTATCTCACTAATATTATAAATGCGAGAGTTTAGATGGATGGATGTGTTAGAAAGTATCTCACGATCTTCCCCGAAAAACATTTTTATTGTCGTAGACGGAGTCGCGAGCAAAAGCTAGTTTTGGATATTTTTGATTTATTAGGTAAACTATATTATTTTGTGAATTAATATTTCTTCGTTTTAGGTTTTACGGTATTGTGTCCATATACTCTATCGATTGTAATTTCCATAGTTGTTCACGTGATCGGCACATTAGTTGTTTTAAATTGATCCACACATGTCGATTAATTTGCATCGAAGTGTTGCATTTGTATAGGTCAAATTGATTCATAGCAAATGATCTTTGAATAACATATATGTCGCAATCAAACGAAGAAATAAATTTGAATTCAAGTCATAATTAGAACACGAGCGCCGCCAAGCGACTTTCGTAAGAACTTAGATGATTCTGAAAATAGGGATCATTGTGAGAACATTGTTTGAACGATATGAGCTTGGTAGGTCGATGATATCCTGACTGAGTATTGTGAATGTGTCCCTGCAATCAGACTTTCCCTAGCCGCCCACATGTCATCTCGACTAGTAGTCATTCTGATATCGTGTTAGCTCAAGCCGACATATATATTTTCACTAATATTATAAATGCAAAAGTTTAGATATCTGGGTATTTGTTAGAGTTTGTAGCCTAAACTGCCCAACTGATCTCGATGAAATTTAGCATAGATATAGAGGATAATCTGGAAAGACTACTTACTTTTGTTTTTTTTTTTCACCTCCACGCGGACGGAGTTGTGGGCGAAAGCTAGTATTCTATATTAATACAAATGGTTTTTGTTACTTACTAATAAAAAAAACTAGAAATTCTCATGAGTTTTATCACGGAGATTAATAGCCACTCCGATGGACCATTGTTATTAATGCAATATTGATGTAAATATTTATATTTTTCATAAAAAAAAAGAAACTACCATGTCTATAATAAATAACATTCTTTGAAACTAAACATTAGTTAGTGAATTGTTTTGAGAATTTATTTTTCGAAGTTATTATTGTTATACTGTTTTGAATAGACGTCCTGTTTAAACTGCACTGAATATCGTCTATGAGTGATTACATAATTAAGATTTGAACAGAATTATTCTTACACTAGTGGTCCCCGTGCGATTTTATCAGCGTAAAATTATTTTATTGTTCACATATATCAAATTGTCGATAGATAGCTTGATGTTGGCAGCCACTTATGGTCTCTTTTCCACATTAAGGTTTTTATACAAAATATTTGCCCCTTACGTTTAATGGCGTTAAAATGTATAGCCTAAAGCGACGCAAGTGTACAGTTTTTTATTAACAAAAGAATTATTAAAAAATATCCTGTTATTGCTGACATCTTAGGCAACAAAGAAGTGTGTTTTTACAATAATAACTAAAGAAGTATAGATTTAAAAACGATATATGTATTTATATGTAGTACATTTTTTATTCCTGTAAAGTTTGGAAAAGTGGAACAATGTAACTGTCCTTGAGTTTTAAGGCAACATTCCTCAATCATTTCTAGTCTTTTCCTAAAGTCGTTGAATTCCCCTTTTTATTAAACAAACACGATGACCTTAACAACATTTCAAACAAGGATTTTTTATATGAATACGTCATAATTTTAAAATGTGGCTTGAATAAAAAAAAAACCGATTAAGACTATCTGATAATACCGCGCAAAAACAGAAAACTCCTATTCTAATATATATTGATAGATATTTCAATATAAAGGATTTAAAAATAAATAGACGAACGGCCATATTAACATTACTTGCTAATTATTTCTAAGCTAATATGTATTGTATTTTAAGGGCCTGTCCCACTACTGATAGAAGTTCAGATAGCTTAAAAATGTCGTCACTGTCAGATATTTCTCACACATTTTACACGTTGGATTATTATCAGACTGTTTACAATTTGGTAGACAGGTCCTAAGGCAACTACGTAAAGATATCGACGACATGTACTGTGCTACTGAGCTTGGCGACTGAGGGATTGAGGACTTGAGGTACTGAGGACTGAAGTGATAGCTCCTTGCAGTCTTTTATAAATCTACCCCTACTATTCTTTCCGTTCCCTTATAGTTTCTAACAATGTGTTCTCAAATAATTAATTCTTGATACATTTATTTCCAGAATGATATATTGGATGTGAACCAGATATTCAAAGATTTGGGTACTATGATCCATGAACAAGGAACTGTGGTGGATTCTATTGAGTCCAGCGTCGAGTGTGCTCTCGATAACGTGGAAAATGGCACCCAAGAGTTACGACAGGCTGCTAATTACAAGGTAACAGTTACTATATAAACTTTCGCCCGCAACTCCGTTCGCGTGGAATTTAAAGAAACAAAAGTGGGTAGTCTTAGTGTTCTTCCAGACTATGTTTTACATGTATACCAAATTTCATTGAAATCCGTTCAGCAGTTTAAGCTACAAACTCTAACGAACATCCGTCTAATTATCTAAACTTTCGTATTTATAATATTAGTAAGATTTACTACTCCAATTGGTTTTAAAATTTCGTAAGTAATATGAGTATTATTCTCATAGCAAAGACTTATAGCTTGTACGAACATTGACATGTCACCATTTTATCTACGCTAATGAAAAGTGAAAATAAGATTTGTCTTTGCCCACGAAGACAAAAGTATATTTTCGTATGTATTGAAATAATTTAAAAACTACTGGATTTCAAATTATTTCACCATTAAAAAGTTATGTTATCACAGAATGATAGTAGCTTATATTTGGACGAAATTTGATCTTGGGTCGGAAATTTAATTCCAGAACTGTAATATTTATTAAAATTACAGACATAATAGAGATGTTCTTTAGTTATTCTAAAGTTGGGTTTGAGCATTAAGCATTTTTTAATATTTTTTTTTTGTTTATATTTCAGAACAAGATCCGCAAGAAGAAGGTTTACTTGGCGATTGTATTGATTATAGTTATATCTATTATTTTGATCATTATTTTTAATCATTAGACAAACTGCAAATATACCAAAATCCATTATCTTATATCCAGGTCTGTAAATATCGTATTTTTATGTTTCTCTGTTAAAAAAAATGAATTTGATATTCCAAGATTCTTTATTTGTAATTTTGGCCATTAAATGTACATATTTTTATATATAAACATTATTTTTTATGTAAATAATTTCTTTTTAATATTTCAATTTTATTTCATGTTGTAATTTATTATTTGTTAATAAATGATTTCCAATATGAAGGTTTTAACAAAATTAAATATTGTTTTTTTATGAAATTTGATATTTTTTTTTGTAAATATAATTGTTTATATAATTATAAGTTTTTTAATATAACTGATTCAGTACAGTCTGCTTAAAAGATATATTTATTATTTATATTAATGAAATGGCAACTTTTCTGCTATCTGTACTCACCGGTAAGACTTGGATATTGTATTCCTATTTACTATTGCTATATACTCTGTATTTGATGTCCAATTATATAGAAAAAAGTAGTTTTTTGTAGGGATTTAATAATCTAGGTGTCTAAAAGTACTACGTAAGTGTAACTTCTATGTTCGGTGATTATTTGAAACTTGAATTTGTATTGTCTAGATGAGTCACATTTAGTAAACTATCCAGTTATATATTTTTCATGTTTTTAATTAAAAATTTACATAGTAAGATATACATATATGATTCTTAACAGCTTTTCAATATTTTTTCTCCAAAAAGCAGTGGTTATTATAGTTTTTTTTATCCCTTAAAATGTTTAGTCAATGTATAAAAGTTACTTTGCTTACATATTATAAATATGTACTTAGTTTTTTAATATTTGACTGTAGTTTTACTTAATTTTTATTTCACTAAATGTCCCATTTTAATTGTCAACTTTTATTTATTTAATTTTATTTAACACATATTTTATTTTTAAAAAAATGTATATAATTTTATTTAATGTTTTAGTGATGTTAATGAAATTATTGTATTTTTAATTAATTGATGCTTTGAAATTGTATTTTATTGATGTATTATTAGAAATTAAGAATTAAAAAAAGAACATAAAAATTGTAAATGTCTAGGATTTATTTAAAAAAAAATTCGCTTACTTGATTGTCATTTATTATAATTACAATGTTATTATTTAATGTAGTAATAACTCGTGCATAGAAAGTTTGCCGATGACTTCCAATAACTCAGTTTTAAAGACTTAAAAAATATAAGACCAGTGATTCTCAACCTTTTTTTTGGGCACATATTTAAGGATTTCAAAATTGGCGGCACATAAAAAAAGATAAAAAAATATTTACTTACCACAATACCAAAAATAGTTTATGACAGAAATTTTATATATGTAATAAACTTATATGTACTACAATAATAACTAAACGTTTATTAGGGGATTGATTAAAAGGTAGTAATACAAATTTCACAATGGTTGAGAATCACTGGACTTGACAGTAAACAAGATTTTTTTCACAGGTAACTTCTTTGAAAGGTACTATGTTAGTTGTCAAATTTAGTGCCACCTCATCTTATAGTGTGTCTAAATAAGTTAGATTAGTTTGACAATTCACTTTAAATTTAGTAGGGATGGGTTGAAAATCAGTCATGAATTTTATCGATTTTCGATTTTTATTTTAATAGAAGTTCGAATCGATAGATTCATAGTTATAACTTATGAATTAAAAAAAAAAACACTGTTTTCTCAAATTAAAAATGACCATTACAAATAATGAGAGTAAAAAATGTTTATTATTACAGCCGTGCGTAATCGAATTGGATTTCGCTATTATTTCTTTCATTAAATTTCGCTAAATTCTCTACACTATAATCAATAATAGAATTGTCCTCTAAATTAGTTAATAAGAAAATAATAATTTTAGTTGAGTTCGATAATTATTTAAACTGAATATCGATAGTTCAAAATTATTCGCTATGCGTGTTTGCTTCGTCACTACGATACCTGTCTATTAAGTACGGCATTTGCCTTCATACAAATTGAATTCGATACTTCATATGCCTCATTTATCAAACTAATCTAATTTATTTAGACAAACTATAGTATCGACATGTTATAAAATATTTTACAAAATTATAAACTCCCATCTTTTGTTATAAAATAAAGTGTCACAAAATATAATATAATTTAAATATGAAGCTTTTGGTAATTAATTTATACAATTAAGATTAAAATGGCGTTAGTGAGATCATAGAAAAAATGTGTCAAGTGTCAACTATGCTTCTTCTATATTTTTTTACTGTTAATAATGTGTGACGTCATCAACCCATCGGCAAAGTTTCTGCGCACGAGTAATAGGTAATTTTTACCATGAAGTAGTTTTGCTAAAATTAGCAACTATCTAACCAAGAAAAAACAATCACATATCAAAATGTTGTTTTATATTAGGTTGGGGGAAAATAAATCTATTGTGATCATGTTTTAAGTATTGATGTTAGGTTTAAGTTAAAAAATTTTAAAACATTAAAAAAAACAAGCTCTTTGTTAGGTCTAAATTGATTACAGGATGTTCAAACTTAATTTTGGCACAGAAAATTCGTTTCGATTTATGATTTTTTCTATTAAAAAAAACCAAGCATTTAAAATTATGATTGGTGTTTATAGCACAGCTAGTGACGAGATTATGATTTCGTTCATTTTACAATGTCACAGATTCAGTTATAATAAGTAGGATTTTCGCTAAAATGTCGAAAAATACATTGTTATTGGAAATTTGCTTATATTTGAACGTAAGATTACATTTATATTTATAAAGTTAAAATATGATAAACATGGATTATCCCCAACCTAATATTTTGGTAAGTTGCTATATTATTTAAATGTAATTTTTACTTTTTAATATTTGTATAATTATTTGCGCTATTGAAAATCATTTTAAAAAATCATCATTTTCATATACATCACAAGTCCCATTAAAGTATATAAAATGCTTATGGTCATAGCTTGATTTGGCCAAATGTTTTTAAAAATAATTTTGCCTGCATGTCTAAAGTATATTTTAATTGTAATTATTAGCAAGTAATGTGTATAAGTGTCCATAAGTATCAAATATAATTAATCAACTATGTATCAATTATCAATGGCGTTTTTATTTTTTTACCTTTTACGTAATAGAAAAAATCAATAGATACGAAAATCTATCTAAAATCTAAAAGTTTAGATGGATATTTGTTAGAGTTTGTAACCTAGACGGCTGAACGGATTTCGATGAAATTTGCTATAGATGTCGAGGATAGTCTGGAAGAACACACTATATCAAAAGAAAAATTCCATATTTCGGGAAGATGATGTAAAAAAATTTCCTATGTCGGTCTGTCCGCATGCCGCGTTTGTTCCGGGCAATCTCCGAAAGGGCTGGGCCAATTTCGACCGGACTTTCACTGGAGGGTAGCTGACATGGATGGGCATATTATAGGCTACTTTTTTTATATTCCGCGCTGTCAAAATGGCGTAACGGGTGGTCCAAATTTGTGCTAACGAAGTTACGGGCAACAGCTCGTGCTTAACATATTGGGATAAAGGGTTAAAATAAAACATCAATCTATTAGAAAACCACCATTTAATACTCATAATAAAATCACACAAATAATCGCAATACTTTCAAATTAAACATTTTAGCTTTGATGGGTTTTCAGATTCTACGAAATTACTACGTAAAATTTTAAATTGTACTTCTACGAAGCGATAGTATGCGGTAAGTTAAATGCTTGACGTCAGCTTACATCGGAAGTGTTACTATGAATAGTTAATACGTCAAACAAATATCTTTAAAATCTATCATTATCACTACAATCTAATACTTTTTCACTAAGAACGAAATTCCCTCAACGTGTTCTGTCCACTCCATACAAATAGCGTGACATATACAAACATTTGACAAAGAAAAAATAAAATCCATCAAAAACTGTACTGTTTACAATAAAAATTAAATAAATATAAAAAATATATCAAAAACTTTGATTCAATATTGAGTATAATGTTGACCCATAATTAAAAAATAGTAAAAACTAAGGCGTTGTTATCGTTTATTTGTTCTATTTGATTCATGAATTACTTTTACAATAAACAGGAACAAAGTAACATAGGCAAGAATTTTACGCTTGTACAAAAATTCATCATACTTAAAAAAATTGCAATTCGATACGTAACTTAAATTAAAAAGCATTTGAAAAATAGCAATTAGTTTTTAAAACAATCGTTATTTCATCTCAAATACTTGGTCTTAGCATAGCACCCTGCGACTTAAGCCAGCTACATACGTTCAGTTCTTAGTGTCAACTGAACAGTTCGACTCTTCAGTTAAAACTGTCAGAAGGCGTCTGTAACAGGCTTTAGATAATCCAGCTCTCCGTGTTACATTCTCATTTTATTACTATTAACTTCGTGCTACATTAAAGTCAGATATTTCCAAAAGATTTTAGTACTAATATCGATAGCGTATCCTAAAGATTGCGTTCCCATCTAAGTATATTTCGCACCTTAAAGCAGTCACTACTTAGACAGTGCTTATAAAATAGCCTCTGAAATTCCCATTTATACCTTCGTTTTACGTAAATAATAAAACATGTAAACCTATCAGAATAATGAATAATAAATGCATTGTAACGTGTAATGTTATAATTTGGTGTGTATCTAATAAAATTTTCTTATAGTTTTACATTGACATTACATAAATATAGGGACTCCCTTTTACGAAGTGAAGCTGGGGGTCGTCCGTCGCGCGTCTACCCTTACATCTTTGATGATAACACATTCATTCTAGAAGGCTTTTGCCTCGATATGTACACTACGTCTGTAACCGAATGCGTATAAAACATTCGATATCAGACACCATTCAATTGATGAGCGTACGTGGAAGTTTATGTAGTAGCGGTAGCCTACGAGGGTTTTACAGCGCGAATTGCGCGATTCTAAATTAGCGGGGAATATATGATAGACATCGATGATAAAGTTCCACGATCGCACATCGGGGCGCGACAGCCGAGGGGGGAGCGTGTGGAAAGGGGGGTTTAGTTGATGATGGCATTTAGCAGACCACTGCCTCCGAGATAGGGTTCTCGGTGATGCGGATGACGGGCGAGTGGCGGCAACGGCGCCGGCCTGCGTCCTCCGACAGTCGGCGGAACGCAACGATCTTCGTGGGAGACAGTGGCGCCACTGCAACATCCAACCGCATCGTCAACCCAATTACATGCCAATATATCTAACCGAATTCGACCGAATATCCGATCCTCGAGATCAATTCGGTGACTATTTTAAATACTTTAAAATATAAACCAATCTAGGGAGAGTGTGAACTAACAATAGGAATAAAATACCAAGTAACTTTCTTAACTTTAAATCAATTAAGATAAAAATATACACAATCGTTTGTTTTATTTCGGTTAACTAATAAAAGCTTACTATGATACGAAAATTACAAAAAACCAATTATTTTATTTATTGCACAAGATTTTTTGACAGAACTAAATTTATTTGAAACATTTTAACCATTAGGAAAGACAGGGGTTTTTATTGGTTTTTGCAAATTTTCGCTATTTTACTGAAAATAATAAAAAATAAACTTACTCCGGCTACTCAAGCTTCATAGCAACAAATGGTCTACTTGGATATTGAAGATCTCTGGATACTACTACATGACCTTACACGATTTAATTTGTGCAGTGCCAACGGGGCTATGGATTTAGGAGAAAATAAATATATTAAAAAACAATTAAAATAAAAGAAAACAAAAATAAAAATCTTGAGTCACAAATAAAATTTCGATAAATATAACTACGTTTTAATGAAAATGAAATTTAACATTAATCATTACTTTAATAAAACAAATGAATAAAAGTAGAGATAAAATAATTAAACAGGTTTACGTGAATTTAATGATAATCTTAATGAACTATTTCTATTATTTCGCATACCCACTCTTAATTTTGCCATGCAATAAATGATATAGGAAAGTTGTAACTTGACAAAGGGTTACTGTCTCTATTACCTTGCATTTCCACTGCGGAAACATTTAACAAGATATATGTTTTGTCTTAAACAGACAGACAATATGTTGTTACAGTCTTGTATTTGATCAATAGAAACGCAAGGTCATATAAGTTACGGACAGTACCGGCGTTAGAGTAAAGCGCAGTAACCAAAAGGTGCACCAGAGTTCTGCTATTTATTCTCTTATCATCTCTTAAGCCCCTATATAGTCTTTGTAAAAAAATCGGACGCTTATCCAGGATCTTATAGTTCTAAAACCAGCACTGCTTTCGAACACAAAATACCATTTGTTAAAACATGCTATCTGCATACATGCTGTTAGAAAGCCACATAAATCAAGTAAATCCAAGCTCAGATATACAAGAGAAAAAGGTGTAACTCACAAAAACATATAAAATAATAATACTTTATCGTTTTTTAAATAAAATTTAATACAAAACACAAATTAATTTCACTAAAAGCTTAAAGCTATAACAATATGCCAGTTAAAAAAGCTCTCTTAAAAATAAAATCGAATTACAGGTAAGTTATAAGAAAGAATTAAAAAAAATATATAAAAACTCTAACCTTTTTAATATCTATTCAGATGATATTTTATTAATCAAGCATACATAAGTGTGAATTAGATAGTTTTTTGTACCAAAAACTTTCGTAACATGCTTTTTACATCTTTATTTCTCGTACAATTTATAATAATTTCACTATTCTCGTAAAGTATATGCACGTATCCATCCTCAACATTCCCATTTTTGCATCCACTAAGAATTAATCGCGTTTAAATCAACATAACTATAATTATATAAATATGCGAGAAAATACAGTTAAAAAGTGTAAACACTTTAATAATATCTACTATTTGACCCTTGCAACACGAAGCCTTCAAGAAGTTTGCGCTTTAACGATTTGCTAACACTATGGCCACCATTAAAGTATGTACAATCAGCTGTAAATATGTATAAAAAAATTCCAGAAACTTTTTTCTTTTTCAAAATGAATACACAAATACTTTAATATCCTTTCGAATTAATTCATGTTATTAACGAACGTGAATAAATATTTTTGATACCTTATACAAGTTTGTAAAGTTTCGTAAATATACATTTTTGCAGCTGACTGTACCGAAGTGAGAATTCATGCACTTTTTTTTTTATTATTTTTTTCTGTATCGCTAATAGATGTTTCAATAGTGAATTTATATCATGTTTGTTATGACTTATATTATTTATTACAACTACAAAAGGATTAAAACATGAAATTGAAGTATTTAACAAGAGATATTGTTTAATCTATAATCTGAAATAAAATAAAATATCTCATAGCCTTTTTTTGAACTAATTGTAACAATTTTTTCATGTTTGATGCAAGTATAACACACTATTACTATAAAATATTTTGCATTAACTACAGTGCCCTTGCTTTGTATTAAGTGTGTACTTACAATATACATGATACGGCTTCACTGATTACATAAACAGAGTACTCTGTAGAGTATGTATAGTGGCCATAGTACAAGCGAAGAAATTATATATTTAACCAAAAGTTACCTCTAACTACACAATAAGCATTCAATAACCAACGCACGCTTAAGCATAATACATTTATTACTTTTATAAATACAGTATTGTTAAGAATATTTACAGTAACATCCTTACGCCAATATCTCGTAGCGAGAAATTCCGAGTAACAATAATATGAAACTCAAAAAAAATAATTGGGAGAGCAAAGAATGTCTACTAGTACAAATGAATTATCGAAAAAAGTTATTTTTTAATTAAATTTTTCCTTTGCGAATTTTCTACTTATCATACTAATATTATTTTTAGTAAATGCGAAATTAATTAGAGGTTGTATTTCTTACAATCTGTTTAAAACGAATGTTTTGAAAACTCGAGTAACTGTGGTTTTGCGTATAAAGGTGTGGCGTAAGTTAAGGTTACTGTAATACCAAATACAATATAAGCATTAGTAATATTTAATATTCATAATATTAGTGTAATTGATCGAGCATGCATATTTTTGTAAATTATTTGTGAATCAACTATCATTTTATAAGCCCTTATTTTTTACATTTATCATGGCTATTCGAATTAACGAATACCATGATCGAATACAGTAAACAGCATGCAAATAATATGTCCAATAACCATAATAAACTTCCATAGTTATACATATTGTTAGTTTAATACAAATCAGTCATGCAAATGACTCAAGCCATTTCGAAAAGTACCCAATCTTACAAATCAAGATCCAAACTTACAGTTAATTTAATTTTAAAATACCCGTAAAAAAATTAAACCCCTTTAAATTTATGCTACATTTCCCCATAAATATCGAATTTTCAAATAAAATGTTTGTAAAGAATATAAAGATTGGAACTTGATTCGATATGAACGCCTCTTTACTTACCGTACCCCTCGCCTTGCAGGAAGAGGCGGAAAGCTTCAGAAATCTTGGCCGGTTGCTCCTCAAGCACCATGCCAGAATCAGAGATCTAGAATATATTCAATTGTTGAAACTTCTATGAAGCTAAGCTTAGTAAATTAAAAAAAATATTCTTATCTAACTAATCTGACTTATCATACTAATATAATAAATGTGAAAGTTTAGATGGATGGATGGATACATGGATGTTAGAGTTTGTTGTCTAAGCGGCTGAATGGATTTCGATGTAATTTGGCATAGACGTAGAAGATAGTCTGAAAGAACACATAGGCTACTCACTTTTGTTTTTTTTTTAACTCCTTGCGGACGGAATCGCGGGCGAAAGCTAGTCTTGTTATAAATGCGAAAGTTTAGATCGATGGATGTTTTTTTAACTCCATGAGGACGGAGTCGCGGGCCAAAAGCTAACACATAATTTCGAGTACAATTTCAATGATAATTTTATCACAGCGAGAATACGTATTCGAAATCTATATCAGAAATTCGTAAATATGCATGACTGAACTAAACGGGTTAACGTCGCTCAGTCAGAAATGTCGAACTATCACGCTGACTGGCTTGTCCTCACTAACGTTGATTCGTTAATTCCAATTTAACACTGGCTGAATACATCGATATCCGCAGGGATAGTCTAATCTCAATTTATAGTGAAAATCAGAACATCATACTATATTTAATCTACGTATTTTATAAGATATATTGAAGCTAAAAAATCAACGAATAAAATGTAGAGCGTCGGTGGCTCAGTGGTTTAAGCACTTGAATTGTTATCTACAGGTCTCAGGTTCGAATCACGCAACGTACCAATATGATTTTCGATTTATAGAATTTTCATATGTACATAATGTACCCAACGTTCTTATGGTGAAGGAAAATATCGTGATGAAACCTAGACATAACTGCGAAGAAATTGAAAGATGTGTGAAGTCAACCAACCCGCAGTACAGCGTGCTTGACTATGGCATAGTCACTAACTTAGGGTAGGCTCCTAGCCCCTCGGTGGGGACATACAGTGAGCTTGTGTTTAATGAATGAAAGAATAAATAAAAGTGTTGTAGATAGATTTCCACTTCATGAGTTCGATCGATCTCTTAAAACACATATAAGTAAATAATCATTACCTACATACTGTTGTGATTTTTTTAGTGATGACATTTTTATCAATTAATAATAAACATTTAAAAATACTATTAAAAATATAATATTATTTAATCTGTGTCACGAAATAATGAAATGTAATAAATCTTGTTTCTATGTATCTAAACTACTTACTTCTCAGAATGTTTAAGAGAATTCTAAAGTGTAAACAGCGTTGAAAGAAACGTAAATATTCTTTGACGGAGTGAAGTCAGTAATGAAAAATAAATATACTTTTCTCATTCATAAGTTACTGGTCTCTTACTTTAAATACTAGTTCAGGGACTGATACTTAGAATAAATATTTTAGTTAATGAAAAGAGACATACACAGGATGATTCTTAACGGACGCATACCAAAAATTTAATATCTTTAAAACTATGGAAAATTAGGCAACATACTTTGCGTTTAAATGATGGCTATTGAGGTCTTCTACCTCCACAAAACCGTCTGTTAAGAATCATATAGACCGACACATTTATAATACACTAGCTGTTGCTCGCGACTTCGTTCGCGAGAAATTAGAAAAAAACATACTCATTGATGATGTAACATTTTAACTGTGTAAGAACTTTTTTAAATTGGCCGGTGGTTTTGAGTTATTTCAATACTTACAAAAATACAAATCTTTACTCTTTATAAGATTAGTATGGATAAAAAATCAGTACATTAGGTTTAATATTCTTCTTAGACATTTTCACTACGGATACAACTAATAGCTTTTGCATGCGGACATTTATAACCTTATAAATAACCGCGGTACATATAAAGTTATACTTAGGAATAAACTGAGTATAATCAAAATGTGCAATAATATTTGCTTATACTCAGTTTATATATAAGTATAACTTATACCGCGATTATTTGTAAGAATGTTTGAGTTTTAGGGGCTTAGAGTATGATACGACTTACCTTCATCCAAGTTGAGTTAGCAGGCTGGAGGCGCCCATTGAAAGTGACAGTATCATCCACATGCGGAGACAGAGCGCCAGTGATGTTGAGCACAGGGGCACGAATGGTGTGACCCTCGCGGGAGATGCTGAGATCAGTGCGGCGCACATACGAGTCCATCAGCAAAGACAAGTTGGTCGGGTTCACGTGGCGGGTGAAGTAGCCACGGTACAACTGCGCCAGATCATGGTTGCGCTCCTCAGCGAACTGGTGACAAAAACGCTCCTTCAAAAGTCAAGACTTTTTTGCTTTCTAGGAATTACACGCATAACACCGTAATCAAGACATAGAAACAATAGGCAATATGCATATGACGCCAAATTGGACCGAACTTTTTGAAGCATTCTTTATTACTACAAAAACATACCTGTAAAATTTTTTTTTTAATATTAAAACACCCAAATATTGTACAGGTTACAATATAAGATAACATGTATATAAGATAACAAATCAACGAAATTCGCAAGAAATTGAACTTACAATGTTCAGTTGCCGAGCCAAGATTAAAGTGGAAAACGTTTTAAGTTGCCGTCTAGACGGCAATTTTGACGCAGGATTAAATCACTAGTTAAAACCGCTTCAAGTTTGAATTTGAAAATGTTAACAGAAGTGGAATACAGTAAAAGGTACGCAAGCTCAAATAATAATACATTTAATTATCGCGTTGTAAAATGGGTGAATCGAGTTGGGAGGAATTTTCACGATGCGGTTGCAATTGTGTCAACGTTGGTAGCATGGCTGGTATGCAAATGACGTCACCCGTATGTTGCACCAGGTAGAGGCGTTACGTAGCAACTGTAGTATACCATACATGACTACCGCGGCTCGCAGCGCATCGATGCACATTCGCCTTTGCTATGCAAACGCCGACATTGTGTTCGCGCTAATTAAACACGAACTTTGTGTGTATTTTAAAATTAAATTAAAAAAAAACACCACGTAAATACAAGCTCGGCGGAAGACTATAAAACAATAGCCTTTTCGCCAAACTTATTACCTCACTGAAGTAATTGTAAATATGCACAGCATTATAGTTATCTAGTCCGATGTGGTATTGATTGCTCGGATGTTCACAAAGCGAAACATTACAGAATGCAGTGGCCCAGTCGGTTTGAACGTGAGCCAAAGGGGCAAGTGCCCGGAAGGCGGGGAAAATTTGCCAAACCTCGACTCGTATGAAACGGTACCAATTCTATACATGGTTTGGTCCTTTTACTGCTTACTAAATGGTACATTGTTTTACCGAAGCCGGTTAAAAGGCTACAATGTTATTTTTGAAAAGTATAATTAATATGTCTTAATTTTTGCAGTGTAATTTAGACTGGCATGCAAAAGATGTGAAAATAAATGATGTGAATTAAAAAGATGTGAAAATGATTTGATCGACTGAAAGACAAAAAATCTTTGTGGCGATTCGAACAGTGGGTGTTCTTAATCTGAAACAATTGGAAGTACTCACCCTGCCGAAGTGATGCCACATGAGGTAATCCAGAACGCCCTGGGTCATGCCGCGGGCGCGCAGCGAGCGGGAGTTCATCTTCTGGTAGGCCCACTCAATCCACCCGGCCTGGCTTGAAGTGCAGTTGATCAGGGTCAAAGCATCCACCTGTAATAACACCAGCAATACAAATACCTATTGATTTTCTACCAAAATCTCCTCAGTTTTATGTTCCAAATAAAATTAGAACAGTACTAATAAAATAATTATGTAAAGACGAATTTAAAATAAAAGCCGCTGTTAAATTGTCTCTACAAAATGTATATATTAAGTTTGATGTTGAGAAATTTCACCGAAATATCATGAAAATGAATACCCGCAATATAAGCTGTATTTTCAATCTGGCTTCGGTTTCCATTAATTCCTTGAACAAACTCGACGGCTAAATTTGTTAGGTTAGCGAAAAGTAAATGTTTACCTTTTGCGGGTGAACGAGGGCGAATCTAGCGAGGATGTTCGCGCCTGCGCCGACGCCGAAGGCGATGAAAGTCTTGATGCCGAAGTGGCCCAGCACGTAGTTAATCTGGTTCGCCAACTCATCCATTGTTGGGTAGAGGTAACTAAAACAAGGAGAATCGTCATTAAAAAACTGACGACAAAGTAGCTCCCTCTATGGTTTCGTGTGACTTTGAAACGTTTGCCTTGGAGACAACATTTGGGAAATAGCTATTTTGAGTATGAAGAAACTAGGCTCAAAGACCACGAGTAAACAGATGATACAAGAATTATTTTTTCTCGTCAAAATAAGCACGAAATAGAATACCCAAAAGTGATATATGTCAAAAACGATAAACATAAAAATAACAAACTCAATTATTTGTAAAATGAGCAACTTCCATTTAAAGTTTAAAATTAAAATAAATAATCAACAGTGAAGACTTAATTAGTTTTTTCAGAGTGCCAACTCTTGTTTGCAAAACTCCGCTGGCGAGTCAAACGGCAACTTCAATTAAAATAGGTTGTAGAATGTTAAATGTAAGGAAAGAGCTAATTGTAAGGGCCTGAATCGGACATTCGTACTAAATGTTACGTAATACTGCGGCAACAAACGAATCTATTCCAAACAAACGCAATCGTACCTGCGCTATACGAGTATACCGATCGTGGTTAACCACTTAGCATACTCTGACCATTTTTATGGAATCAATCATTTGACTATTATAATAGGAAAGATAACTTAATGTTTTCAAATTAAAAAAATTAATTCTGTAGTCTAATCTAGACTATAGAAAGTACATGTAAACAGTGACATTAAAAAAAAAACACTTTTGACTTCTAAAACTTATGATGATCAAAATATAAGTTTTACTGCCACACTTGATGTTGTTAATTGACTTCTAAGGGATATCCTTAGTGTAGTTCTATCCTAAATCCACACCTAGGAACACCATTTAAAAACTCAGAGTTGACTCTACTTGATGGTAGTTAATTTCTTTGAAACTATTATCAAAGTTAGTTTAAAAACTTATTAGTAAAGTGTACGTTTGTTTTATACAAATATAACTTAAAGGTCTTTGTATTCAAAAGTTCACTAAACAATTTTATGGTTCGCGATTTCCTTAATCCCCGTACAAAAAGCGGCATCGGCAATAAGTTTGTGCGTCCCAGCTAGTCTCTATCGAGCGGTATTCTCTTACATAACACTGCGGTATGGAACACGCCGCGCCGTTCCGACATCGAACTTTACCAGTCCAAATTATTACAATATTACAATTCAATATTTATTGCCCTTAACACAAATGAAGCACCAAAACGGAACTGCGGAGAGAAATTAAGCTCCGATTTTTTTCATGAATTATTTTTGTAACATTTTTTGACGTAAAGATACTGTGATATCAATAAAAACATTATTATCCTTTGAAGACTTTTCCTCTGAAGAGTTTTCCTTATTTATTTTCGATATTTATGGGAAATCTGCTTATATAAAGTTTTTATCTAAAACTCTATGTAAAATGTCAAACGTGTTTGTTTAAGGTTAGTCCTCAGTGTTGCAAAAATAAGTAAAATTTCATTAAAATATCAACGAACTTGGTTACATTGTTTAATTCAACCATTGTCAAATAATTAATTCTTTCTTCTAAGTTCTTTATTGTTTAATTGAATATTTTAATCAAATTGAATCAGTTGCAAATCCTGGCGCATTCCATTGGAGATCATGTATTTCGAAATCCAAATCCAACCATTAATTCACGATTAAAATGAAACTCAAAAAGAATTATTCGAGAGAATAATGTCTATCAGAAAGGCAGTATGTGTTAATAATGCATGCATGAAGTTACGTCGAAGCGATCTCGACACTTTCTATGAATAATTAATTATATATTTTCATAATAACAGCAGCTTATGGGGTCATACTTGACACTTGACATGCGCGCGCGAGGCGCCAAACCGTCGCGACGCTGGCCCATTGGTGCAGTTTATTAACCTATCCTCAGGAAAGACAACACTTTTCGACTATCACTGATTGTCTAATGGCGTCGTCAAAGTGCCAGTGGCCTCCAATAAACTTAGCAATACCAATAGCGATAACTTAATTTATACAATACTTTGAATTAAACAAAGCTACATCGGAACTAGCAGTGCTGTTACTGATCGATATTCGATATGTAAAGTAAATTTGCAAATATAACGTTTGTATTTGAATCGAACGAGCAACCCATTGTGTACAACCAATGAATAAAATTGACAAAGCGATTGGAGTTAATTACAAAATTTAAATGAAATTGTATTTGGGGACACTTTTGGATTACGTTGATGACGTAATTTAGCGTCAACCTGTATACTGGGATTACTGAAAACTTTGATGGTGGAGCTTCAGCTGACGAAACTCCTCAGTTTACAATCTTACTAGACATATTATGAACTGATAACAATCGCTCAACCATGATTTATATTATAACTTGCTTTCGCCCTAGACTCCGTCCACGTCGAATGAAAAAAAACAAAAATGTTTTCCTAGACCATCCTCCCTTTGCCAAATTTCTTCGAAATCCGTTCAACCGTTTAGACTACTAAGTATAACAAACATCCATCCATCCATCTAAACTTTCGCATTTATAATATTAGTAAGATTAAAAAAAGTTTTCAATTACTCCTTTGTCCACATAATGTTAAAAATATTAAGCGATAAACAAAGGCCCGTATAAAAATATGTTACTCGAAGTATATTCAAGGAAGTGTCGTTAGCACCGGATAGTTATGATACATTTATTGAGGATATAAAATAATGAATCAATAGAACATAAGGTCGTCGACATTTGTACGAGGCCAGACTGGAATTTGGGAATGTGCCAACAACGGCAGTGCACTGTACATAGAAAACTAAATCAAATGTACAACCATATTCGTCTCCAGGCGACCATGTTGCAAACAAATGACTCACATAATGCTTAAAAACGAAAGGTTTTATTTTTTGACCTTTCTAGACATCATTTTTTAATAAAGTCGCAACGATAACCCAACTGCGACCATCGAGTCAACCTTCAACTAATTGCGCAATTATTAACCTCAACATAAACTTGAAGACAAAAGTCTGAATAAAAAACAACTATAACATCATAGTGCAAGCAAAAAGTCCCATGTAAAAAAACCTTTTACATTTTTAGAACACAACTGACGGTAGAACGGTAGTAGGATACCATCAAAATATGTCTCTTAATGATTTAGGAACGCTGAGGGACAAATTTAAAAACTTTTCTTTAATAATAAGTAAATAGAAGAGTCAAACTGTTAATAAAAACTGCGTATGTATTCAAAACTTTAAACGGTTTGACTTAATTAAAACTGTCAGAAAATGAGCGTCTGTAATGGGCTTAAACAGTATGAATACTACATAAGCCCTATTTAACAAGGAAGTAAGAAAATTCATTTATTTAAAACTGTATTTACGCTGCAATACATTTTGTAAGTAAATTAAGTACTAATTCAGAGAAACAGTAAACCAATCTATTATTACCTTATTTAGATAAGAAAATAAGAACACTTTCCTTTATACTTAGTAGATTCATTCGTAAGTAGATTTTAAATTAAATCCGTAACTCGACAGTAAATGACTTTAATTCGTTTAAAGTTTGCTGTCCCAAGTCTGGATGGCTAACAACCTAAGTACTTTTCACATTTTCTTTATAACAACTACTAGATAATGTAGGAAATACTAGTTTTAACCCGACCAGAGCCAAGAACGTGATTTTTACGGACACCTTGTACAAGAATATATGACTATTTCTTTTTTTCAGAGATAAGAGAGAGATGACTAGAGAGAGATCAGTGTTTTAATACCTAAGTACGTATTTAATTGACTTAAAATATTTCCAAGAAGAATACCATTTAAATGACATGAGGAATTTTGAGAGTAGTCCCAGTGGTAGAGAAGGTAAGGAGTAAAAGGTTACCATGGTATGGACATGTCATGAGGAGGGATGTTCGCATGTTACAAGGAGAACGTTAGTTATGAGTGTGGAGCTACACCGGTAGAGGTGGAACTAGAAAGAGATGGAGTGATTGCGTGAAAGGTAACATGATCAAAAAGGGAGTGATGACTGAGATGACGTCTATTTATCTATCATATAGAGTTACATATGTTGAGGACAAAAATCTGTTGCACCGACCCATAACTACAGTACCTATAATATTTCTTTGGCATTTTGCTAAGAAAAACCTTTGCTAGTAAAACCTATTCCATCGTGTGTTATTCGTTCAGCAAGTCAATTATTAACACTAATTATTTATTATTCCACTTCCTTAAACTATATTAATTTATAAACTAATATCAATATTTTTAAAAATAAAATTTCATTCTAACCAACAAAAGCAAAAAATGTATCAAAACGAGATTTTCAGTCACAGCTCTAATTCGCCTTTAATTTTATTCGAAACCAATCAAAGTACACACCATTAACTCTCAAACGGATTTTCCAAGCATCAAAGGAATATTTCCGCGACCACTCAAACCATTTAACAAACTAACAAGCCACAATAATCCTTTACAACGCAAAAAGCGAACTTACTCAAAGCGATTTCTTTGCAACTCTAGCTGCAGGCTTTCCCAGGAATCAATTATTAATAATTCATTGACTGAAATCGATTGTGAGGTTACCGGACAAAGACTATCTTTTTACACAGGGTTTTAGAAATCCCATTAAAAAATAACAATAGTATGCGTAGATTTCCACTTTCCACTACATAAATACGTTTAGAAAATGTCATGTCTCTTATTTTCTTTTTTTAAGTTAGCAATTTTTTTCCATTGGTGCTACGATAGCGGAAGCCACGCTAAGGTGCCACATTCAAAGCGCTATTATCTGTGTGTCATTTCCATACACTTTCATAAATGGGCCTTCACACGATAACATCGAAGCGATACGACAAGTGGTAACCGGGAGCAAAATTGTTTAAAAAAGGTTACAAGCTAGAGATAGTATTTAACCCAGTTTACATTAATCGTATGATTTACAATATAGAAAGTCTATTTTAAATTTGTTAGCAACGAATATAGGCCAGTATCCACTCATAACACCCTTTCATTCACGGATAGAGTTAGAATCAAGCCATTGACCCTGCA